GGAGGGGATTCGACTCCAGCGCCACGCCAAGGAAACCGCAAGACCTCCGAAAGCTTGCGGTGGGGGCGGTGGTTAAGGAATGCGTCCAGGAAGCTCCAGACCCTGGTGGATTATATATAGATGTATACATATATGTATGTATGCATATATATATATATATATATATATATATATATATATATGTGTGTACATGTTCCCCAATCAGTGATTGCACTGAGTGGCTCCTAGCGGAAGTTGAAGGATTTGGCGAAAGTTCCCCGCCGATTTTGGTGGCAGGCTGGGTTCCCGGGGTCCCGGTTCCGGGTTCCCGGGTTCCCGGTTCCGGGCTCCAGGAAACTCCAAACCCTGGGGAATTATATACATGTGTGGATTATATATATATATATATATGTGTGTGTACGTGTACGTGTATACGTACATACATATGTACACACATGTATAGATGTATTAATAGCCCTGCCCTCCCAGACCCGCCAGCACATGGTTGTATCGTGTCTGGAGCAAGGCAACGTGTGCCACAGGCAGTAGAAAGATCAGGCGCACAGACGCTGCTCGGAGATTCCCCCAAGCATCTGCAAGTGAGTAGGCCATAGAGAAAGCATGCCAGGCGAGGAATGGGAGCGCGAAGGAGCGATGGGGAAGCCAACGGGAACGGGAGGGTGGGAGACTTGAGCGTACAGTTGGACCGAGGTATAAGATCGAGGTCGGTTCGGGGAGGGTACCCTTGGATGTTCTGTGCGTTCTGGCTGGTGGCTGGCGGAGGGTCTCGTGTTCTTGAGGGATGTTCTTCTGGCCTAGGTCAGACTGTACACGTCGACGGATGACGTCGATACGGCGAGCCCTTAAGGGCCTGGCACGTCTCTTCAGCTCGTCAAAGCAGAACAGAGACTCTGCCCTGCCCCCCCCCTGGGCTGGCCAGCACATGCCCTGTCATGTCTGGAGCCCAGCGCATCTTCCACATGATGTAGAAAGGTTACAGTCAGCCCGCATTGCACGGATGGGCAAGCTTCCCAAGGGTACCCTTGCACCCTTGCCTCCTCGGTCCATCCTTGGCCAATTTCGTTGGCCGGCCCCGAGCGAAACGCTTCGCAACGGCTTTCCAAGGCCCTTGCATCCTTACCGTGCATCCTTCTGATCTGATACGGGCCGGCTGTACGCGCTCAGGCGCAACTGGGAGGTTCGTTCCCAGACCCGAACGTAAAAGAAATGGGCCAGGGCCGAACAGCCTCGAAACAAAGACAAGTTCACGGTTTGTCGTCTTGTCTCGTCGTTCTGTCGCCTCCTTTCTCGTTTCCTGTCCTCCCGCTCTGTCGTTTCTGCGCTTTGGGGTCGTCGTTGCTTCCCCCTCGGCCTTGTCTTCCTCCTCTTCTCCCTCGTTCCCTCGTCGCCCTCCCCCCCCCAACAAAAAGTTCACGGCTTGAATGTAGTCCACAGCTCAGATACCCGCAGCGCCTCTTCGTCATCGACCACGGACGGGGCGAGAGCACGGCAGAGCCGGCGAGGGGAAGGCAGAGCGGCGAGGGCTGTCCAATGCTTGCCTCCAGGAGCGTGTCCTGAGAGCTCCCTGTCCTCCCCGTCCTCCTCCTCCTCCTCCTCCTCCTCCTCCTCCTCCTCCTCCTCCCTCCTCCCTCCTCCTCCTCCTCCTCCTCCTCCTCTAGGAGCGTGTCCTGAGAGCTCCTTGTGCGGCGGTCCCGTTCGAGAGCCCCTGCCTCCCTGAGCACGGCACCATCTACTCCAGATCTCGTGATAAAAGGGAGGGGGTCTGGACCCTCCAAGACGAGCCATTTCAGACCCCCCCCCGTGGGAGAACCCTCCCAAACATCGTCCCCAGACCCCCCCAGGCCCTCCAAGATAGCCTGGAAGAGACCCCCCGAAATGAGACCCCCCTCCCTTTATTACGACATCTGGAGTACCAAGACGAAAAAAAAATGCCACCTTACCAAGCTATTCCTCGAAGGCATGTTTTACGAGGGGCTTCGACCTGACGCTGGTGGAAGCGAGCCTCAGAGCAATCGACGGCGCGTCTCAATAGCGTTACATACGGGGAGCTTGCCACATGAACGATCCATCAGGGCTCTCAAGAAACATTTGCACACCAACACTACGCCAACCAACACTCAACCGGCGGAACGCGCGAAAGGTAGCATGGCCAATGCTCAACCGAGCCTGGTGTGATTCAGTGAGACTGGCGAGGCCCATGGGGCTGGTCACGGAGCGAAGCGGCTCCCAGAGAGCTTGCGACCAGCTGGTGCCGAGCCAGACCCCCTGCGCCGCGCCGGAAATATCCACCCCTTGGGAAGCTTCTCGACCACCTTCATTCGCAGATCGCTGTGCACGCCCATCTGGATGTCCGAGGCTACGACAGCGATGCCCCGCCGCACGCAGCTCTTTGGCCACGCCTGCGGACCCAGCGAATGGCTCCAGGAAGACACCGCGGCGCCGCCGCGGCGCCCCTTGCAGGGCGGTCTGGAACTCCGACGGGCAACGCCGGCAGCCGAGCGGCTCGGCGGTGGTGCGCCGCCCAGCCGGCCTCCGCGCTGGCGGCCGCGGGCCAGTTGCAGGCCGCTGGGCCGCCCGGGGGCCCAGCGGTCCCCGCTTCGGCGAGGTGCCCGAGCTGCAGCTTCAGCAAGGCCGGCACCCGGTGGACGAGGCACGCCCGCAGGAAGAAGAGCCCGACGCCACGATCTGCTGGGAGGGCCGCCCCACCGGCTCGCCGCGCGCGAAGCTGGCGTTCGGGGCGAGGCCGAGCTCGCGCAGCAGTGTGGACTCCCTGGCGCATATGGCCATGGACGCGGCCGCCTCCGAACGCGCGCTGCGCTTGGCCTGCTCGACTGTCCGGCGGCTGGCCAGCAGGTCGTGGGTGGGCTCCGCCGTGCCCGAGGGGATACAGACGTGGCCTCAGCCTCTCCAGGCCCAGCAGCGACGCCGCTCGAGCAAAGACCGTGCGGAGCTCCGTGGGGCCGACCGGCCTCAGGAGCTCGTCCGGTCTCGCAGCCAACAGAGACAGATGTCCAGGTCCACGAGCACGGACTCCTCGAAGAGCCCTGTCGTGCCCGGCTGGGTCGCCGCCCCATCGTGAAGGAGGAGCCCCCACGACTGATGGGCGGGCCCGGCCGAGGATGTGGGGCCCACAAGATGACGAGGCATGAATTCGAGGCGCTCATGCAGCCTGAGGTAGCACACGAAACAGATCATGGTCCACCACGCCATCTTCGGTCGTTCCAGGGCCACGGCAACCCCTGCTGTCGCGAAAGACGCCGACCGTGGCAGCGGGGACCGAGGGAAGCTGGGGCCCCTCCACCAAGCGATGGCCGCGCGCCAGCCCTGCGCGAGGCCAGCCTTGCCCGCCCAGCGTGCCTCCGCCCAGAAGTGGCACAGTGCGGCGAGCAGCCGGCTCCCCTCGGCCGTGGCGCACTGGTTGTGACAGGAGGCTCGCCACCGCGAGGCCCAGCTTCGGAGGCCTAGAGGTTGACACCAGCACCAATATCGGCGCTGTGCCTCTACCGAGGGGAGAGAATCCCAATCTCGGTGACGGTGGTGATATTCTGGCTTCCTAGGCGGCCGAAAGGTTACCACAAACACCGAAAGCTAGGATCATCTTCCCCTGGTGGAGGCAACGCCCTGTGTTGGTGTTGGTGCCAATTTCCGAGCCTCCAACAGCTCCAGAATCGTGCTCCACGAATCCAGGTGGCCGATGCAGTCGTCCGTGACCTTCCAGCACGCCGAGCGATACCCGTCCTCGCGGCGGTCTCCATGACCGCCAGCTGCTGCAGCGGAGTGAGCCCCGCGATCCGCCGCCGGTCGGTCAGCAGCAGTCTGCGCGACAGGCTGGCTCGCGTGACCGCCTGTCGACTGCCCTCCGGCGTCGGGGGCGCGCGGCGGGGCATCCGGCGCGGCCGTTGCACTGGCGGACGCCCTGGCCCGCGGCAAACGGCCGCCAGAGAAGCAATCGGAGCCCACGTGAGTGCGGATCACACGGGTTGAGCTCTGAGGCGATCCAACGGGTGTAGAAACGGGATCCAGAAGCAAGGTTGAGGGCAGTTGATTTCCGAAAGGGCTATCTAAGATGTAGTTTAACGAGCTCGTCCTTTCGTGGCCGCTAGGGTCTGGGGCAGGTTGTCCACCAGGGGCACCAGGTGCTTCCCAAAAGCCTCCGAGCTCCGAAGAAGAGGCGAGGATGCGCGGAAAAGGGAGGGGGGAGTATGGGAGAAGGAGGATGAAGAAGCAGACAGTAGAGATGGTGATGGATGGGACGAATGGGTGCCCGAGGAATGAATGAGGGACGGTGAGGTTGGAGGAGTGAGGAGGAAAGATGAGGAACAGAAGGAGGAGGAGGAGGTAATAGGTAGAGGCCTGTGGTGAGGCCTCCCTCCTTGGCCCTCTGAGGGTGTCCTTGTCATTCCCGTCCCAGCTGTTCCTCGTTTACACGTGCAGCTGTCTTGTGGTCGAGGGCTGGAGCGTGCTAAAATCTAAGCACGCGCGAAGCGCGCGCGTGATTCCAGTCCTGATCTGATGCGGGCAGCAGTCGTGTCCGTGGCCAATCCACGATTGGAGTTCCAAAGGCTTCCAGTCCCTGACTTCCTTATCCGATGGTTCTTCATCCAAGGCCCCGGCCAAATGTTTATGCAGTTCTGTGTTGCTCTAGTTCTCGGGTGCCAGGGCTATCAAACATGGTCTTGGGCGAAAACCACCTCCATGGGTTGTGGTCGTCGAGTGAGGCATCGACTGCAGCATTTATTCACCTCAAAGGTGTTTTTTTTTTGTCGAATCCATGGAACATGGGTGGAATTCGGGTAGGTCCACGGCACTCCCACGCACTCGCTCAAGAGATTCGACGTGGAAATCAGTTTCGGGACGGACCAATTCTGCCGTCGATCCCCTACGCGAGGTCGGGACCACCTGGGGCCACTGGCCGAAACAGAGCAAACCCTCGGCGGCCCGCCAGGGGTCCGCCGCCGGCCGCTGCAGCGCGCCCCGCCTCCTCCCCGAGCCGCACGGAGGAGCGGTGCGCCCCGCGGAGGAGCCGCGGCCCGACCTCGGCGGGGCCTGCGCCCGGCTGCGCCGGGTGCGCTCGCTGCCGGGGCCCGCGGCCTGCGCCAGGCTGGCCGAGGCGTGAGGGCGCGAGGCCTTTTGCGCTCTCTCTCTCTCTCTGTCTCTCTCGCCCTCTCGCTCTCTCTGTCTCTCTCTCTCTTTCTCTCTCTCTCTCTCTCTCTTTCTGCTCCCAGACCGCCCCCCGCTCGAGTCATGGGAAGTGTTTGGTGGTCCCTGCTCTAGACGCTCCGCGGCAATCTCGCGCCAATGATCTACGTACCGCGCCCCGGACGTTGTGCTCGCTCCATGTCCCTCGCCTTGGAGCCGCGAACCCAAAAAAGTAATCCCACCAGCACGTCCCAAACGATGCCCAGGCAGCACGTCCCAAACGATGCCCAGGCGAGTTGCCCTGATCAGGGATGTGGAGGAGCATGCATAGAATGAAGGGCTGGGGAAGCCGCCGTACCCCAAAAGGGGGAGGATGGAGGAGAAATCGGAAGAGGAGGAGGGAGATGGGGAGGGGGATGGGGAGGCGGGAGGAGGGAGGAGGAGGAGGAACACACGGATGAGGAACAGGAAGAGGAGGAGGGGGAGTAGGAGGAGGAGTATGAGGAGTATGATGGTGATGATGAGGAGGAGGAGGAGAGCGAGCAGAAATGCCAGAGGCATTTGGGATGGTTTTTGGAGTCTCTTCGCTTATCTCTTGAGAGTTTCTCGGGGTCTTTTTGGGGCGTCTTTTGGGCCTCGTGGCGGTGCCAGGGGCCTCGTGGAACGTTTTGGGTGCCTCGGGAGAGCCTCTTGGGGCCTCTTGGGGGTCTCTTGGCAGCCTCTTGGGGGCCCTTGGTGGCCCCTTGGCACTTTTTGGGGCCGTCTTGGGGACGTCTTGGAGCTTGGGGACCATCTTGAGGGCATCGCGGGGCCACCTTGGAGCAGATCGGTCAAATAATGGGGGTGTACCTAGCTGGCCGATGCGCGCGCGGGCATGCGCGGGCGAGCGCGGCCGCAGAGATGCAGTAGCCAACACCAAGCCCTCATCGCAATCGCCGCCTCATGGCTCATGCAAATGAAATTGCGGGTGTGTAGGCGGGATGATTGCGCGAACAGTGAAGTTGACAATTCATTGCGAGCACATAATAGTAATTGCACCACATAGGTTGCACCACAAACATACATTGCACCGCGTAGACTGCTCCACATAGACGGCGCCACGCAGGTCGCACCACATAGTTCTGTCAGCATCGAGTGCAAAGCAGATGTTGCTCCACATCGGTGGCACATCGTATGTTGCACCATCTTGTTTGCACAGCACACACATATTTATAGATACATACATACACGCACCCATATACATATATATATATATATGTGTATGTCACCACGCCGACTGTACAATGCATGGTGCACCACATGTTTTGTCCCACGTAGTTTGCACAACATATATTGCACCACCTGGATTGCGCCGCATATATATATATATATATATATATATTGCAAGTGCACACCCGTCGGTTGCACCGCGTAGGCTGCACGGCATAGATTCCGCCGCGTAGCTTGCACCACACATATTGCCCCACGTAGATTGCACAACACATGCTGCTAGACGCGCAGTGTTTGTGGTCCACGCTGGCGAACATAACAGCGGATTTGGTTTGGAACCCATTTCGGCGTCTTCGGGGGAGAGGGGCTACAATGACCTCCTTGTTTCTTGATCAACTTCCTACAGGATGGCCCCAATACGGCCCCCAAGGCTCCCAAGGATGCTCCAAGGCAGCCCGAAGAGGCACCCAGGAGGCCCCAAGAGGCTCCCAAGAGACCCCGAAGAGGTCCCAAGAGGCTCTCCCGAGGCACCCAATATGCTCCAAGAGGCCACCAAGACACCCCAATGGGACCCCAAGAAACTCTCAAGAGACATCCGAAGAGACTCCGAGAGACGTGTAAGAGGCCTCTGGCCGCTTTTCTGCTCGCCCTCCTCTTACTCCTCCTCTTCTTCCCCATCCGCTTGTTTTCCCTCCCTCCTTCTCTTACCTTCCGCCTCCTCCGATTCCTCCTCCACCCTCCCCATGATGGGGTGCAGCAGCTTTCCCCGCTGTCTATTCCACGGCATGCTCCTCCACATCCCTGATCGGAGCAACTCGACTGGGCATTGTTTGTGGTTTGGCTGGTGGGGTCACGTGAAGGGCCCAGTGCAATGCACTGCAAACTGTCCTGTGGCGTGTCTGCAGCGCTTCATGAGGGAGGGCCCAGACACCTCAGTGTGTACACGCGCGGTTCCCATCCCATCTCTTTTTTGTGTTCTCTCTCTATCTCTCTTTCTCTCTGCCTGTCTGTCTGTCTGTCTGTCTGTCTGTCTGTCTGTCTGTCTGTCTGTCTGTCTGTCTGTCTGTCTGTCGTCTTCTTTTTTTTTTTTTTTCTCTCTCTCTCTCTCTCTATATATATATTTATATATACACGTAATTGTTGGTGTGGTGTGACTTGTATCTCTCTCGATCTCTCACCCTCTTCAAATCAGAATAATATTAAGCATGCGAGCACGGCCAGACGCAGCTCGGACAGCTGGTGCGTTCGGAACCCCTGGGCGGTGACTTGGGATCCATTTCGAGTTGCCGTTGTCTCAACTCGCCCTGCTCCGATAGAAGAGGAATAATAAGAAGAAGGAGGATAATAATTATAGTATGATCATAGTGAGGAGAAGCGGCACGATAAGAAGGACACGGCACACACACAAACTTTTGGAGGTCCATTCGGATTTCTTGTGCCGGCGCTTGGACCCCTCTCCCTGACGCGTGGAGTTCACTCGAGGCGGCGCTGGAGGCGCCGCCAGGGGGATCCGGCGTCGATCCAAGAATTCTTTCGGGATATGTTTTCCTTGATGTGTTTGTTTGTTTGTTTGTGCGCATGCTTGTTTGCTTGTTCTGTGTGTTTGGTTGTTTGGTTGTTTGTCTTTTATAGTTATTTTTCGTAGTATCATGTTTCTCTCTATGTCTTTCTCTTCCCCCCGTCTCTTTCTCGGAGGTTGATGGCTTGGCTCATCGCAGCGACTACCATCGCGATGGGCTCCAGAGGCTCAAAAGCGATGTCTCCCCAAAGAAGTTGTGTACAGCCTGGGAGCCGCGCGGGCGCGACCATGATGGCGAACTTGAGCCATAACCTTTTTCAGTAGCTATTTTTCGGCCTACGAGCCAAACCCTTCCAATGTGTCGCCCGTAGACGCGCACTGCCCTCGCCCAGTGCACGCGGCCGCGGGCGGCAGCTGGCAGCCGCAGCGGGCCTCTCTGACCACCTCGCCCGCTGCGCATGCCCGCTGTTCTGCGTCGTCCTGGTTCCGCCGCCTGCCACTGCTCCTCGCCATCGAGGAGGAGGGAGGGAAGGAGGGAGAGAATGAGGAGGCCGCCTGCCACTGCTTCTCGCCATCGAGGAGGAGGGAGGGACGGAGGAAGAGAATGAGGAGGAGGAGGAAGAGGAGGAGGAGAAGGAGGAGGAGGAGGATAGTAATAATGAGGAGGTGGAGGAGGAGGAGGAGGAGGACGAGGAGGAGGAGGAGGAGGAGGAGGAGGAGGCGGAGGGGCAAGAGCGTATTCACCCGGAAGCGTTGTGGCAGTCAAACTATGGCGCGCCCCAGGCTCGGCGGCGCGGCTTGAGCGCACTCTGGAGCGCCATCCCTGCCATACAGGTTTTCTTTCGACTGCGCGGGAGGTCGCTGTGTGGCCTGAGAGGAAGAGGAGAGCTGAATGGGGGATGGAGGACCAGAAGAGAAGGCAGCAGCAGCGGCAGCGGCAGCGGCAGCAGCAGCAGCAGCAGCAGCAAGCAGCAGCGGCAGCAGCAGCGGCAGCAAGCGCAGTGCATCGGCGGCAGCAGGCCGCCGTCCCAGCGCGCCCCGGCCCTGCGGGGCGCGCGACCGACGCCGCGCGGTTGCCGCGGCCGCGGCAGGCCGCCGACGGCCTGGGGCCCGCGGCCTGCCGCGGCGCCGATGCCAGCAGCCGTGTGGCCCGTAGCTTGAAGCCGGGCATGTCCCCATGCAGGAGGCAGGTCCAAAACGAGTCGAAACATGCTCTGGGGACGACGTTTGGACTATTTCGGGGCGTGCTGTTTTCATAATGGCTCATTTTTTATCCAAGATCCGACCTAGCCATAGCCGACCTAGCCTAGGAGGACATGCCCGACCTAGCCATAGCTCTTGGGCGCGAATTGACAGGGGGCGATGAATGAGGGGGGGGTCGGCAGCGAGGGCTTCCGAAAAAGGGCCCGGGAGGGCCCAGGAGGGGGCCTTCAGGGCCCGAAAAGGGCACCTGTCTCCCCCCCCCTTTTCGCTCCCCCTTGAAGTCGCGCCCGAAGCTCCGCGAGCTCCTGATCCGGGAGGCTGCCGAGCGCAGCGCCGAGCCGGCGCTGGAGCTGCCCGCGCCTCCCGCACGGCTTGGGGCAGCCAGCAGAGCGCGGCCGCCGGCCCGCGCCAGCGCACCCGCCAATGCGCGCGCGCCGCCGCCGCCTCCTCCACCAGCTCCAGGCTGAGAGGCCGTCCAGCCAGCGGGACCGCGGCCGCCGCGGCCGCCTCCTCGGGCAAGACCACCGATATAGGTCGCCACCGGTGACCGCAACGCGACCGACAACGACCGGTAACCACTGGCGGTCGGTCCTGATTTTTCGCCACTCCAAGGTGTGGAACGACCGAGAGCGAGATTCGTTGCCGATCCTTTCCCAGACATTCGACGTCCTGATTTTTGTCAGGACGGCGTCCCTGGAAGTCCAGACCCTTTCCCCGGGACCGGTTTTTCGTCCCGAGTCGTTTTCTGACAGCCCCGAGGCCCTTCGAGGGCCCCCCGGGCCGAAAATAGCGAAAACCTTGCCGTCTTGATTTTTCCCCGACGCCATCACGTCTGGGTTTGGGTGGCGCATGATCTGGGCGGTCCCTCAACCTCCATTGGGGGGCGCCCCGCAGGGGAGAGGACCTCCGCGGCCTCCACCAGCAGCGCCCCATAGGAGGGAGGAGCCCAGGCGTCTGACCGCTCCGATTTTTCGAATGGTGGATCGACGACAGGTTTCAATCCATTTACCCCAGGATTGATTTCCCCACCGAATCTACCAACGCAAATGTGTAGAATGTGCCGTAAATCCCCGAAGCTTCTACGCGTGTCTTGTCTACTCGGCGGGGAAACTAAGTGTGGGCCCCGGGGGTCTGGACCACTTCCCGCGGGGCCAGTTTCTCGCCCCGGGCCGTTTTTTGCACGCTCCCGAGGCCCAGCGAGGGCTCCTGGATGCTGACGACGGCCCCCAATCCCGCCGACGCTGAAAACGGCCCCCGCGATATCCCGCCGCTCCGATTTCTTTGTTGGTGTGGAGCTTGGTCATCTGGGTAATTCTGGGCCCGCTGCCGTGGCGTCCGGGGGGGGGGACGCGCCGGGGCACCGATATCGATGACCCCTCTGGCGCGATCGAGGTCGTACGCACGATTCCTACTATTGCAGTCTGGAAGAAGCTGAGGATGGTTCCACCGTCGCTGAACATACAGATCATGCGCATTAAACGCTGGCAACGAGTCGCACGTGAACCCGCACACCACGCTCAACTGTTGGCCAGTGTTTTTGGAAAGCTATTATGTGAGACCACGGAGACGATGATCTACGATTGGGCCCCTGTGCGCCCTGACTGTGCAGGCCCCACACATCTACATAACCCGTGGCGCAAGCAGTTTTATGAAGATATGAAGCTTTTACGTGTACTGGCTGACGGTCGTGCATGTCTAGATGTTATTGGAGATGATCTGCTCGACGTTTTTCGACCTACACCTGGTCGCGATGTTTTTGTCAAGCTCACGATCGCACGTGTGCGCAAGTGGTGGCTAGAGCAGCCTGCACCCCCAACACGCAGTGCTCCAGATGCAACAGTCTCTTGGAGTAGCCCCCACACGTGTGGCCTTTTGTGTGAAGATGGTGCGCTATGCCTGTTCACTGCGGAAACAAAACAAGCGCTCCGAGTACATCAGATTATGAGTGGGGAGGGAGGCGAACATGGACGAATATGCGAACACACTCGATTCACGATCACGAACCAGTGCCCAAACTGCCGATCGACATTCGCGAGCCGACAGACTGCTATCAATCATCTCGCTGCTGCTTATCGTTCAGGTCGCTGCCTGAAACATCGCTCGGTTTACAACTTCGATGTGCACGACCCCCCGCAGCTGTTTTGCCCAAGTGACGACTGCGAGCTTAACTTTACTGATCTGAGTGGGATTCAGGCACACACTGCTGAAGTACACCTTCCTGCGCCGCGGCCGTATGTCGTGGATGGCCTCACTCCCCAACGCTGGCGAGCCCGCAAGCGCAGCCCAAGATGTAGCACCAGCTCGCAAGCACCGCCGCCGCCAGCCCAGAAAGCGTGGAGACCAACAGAGTGGATCGAAGTCCAAGCTTGTCGACCTGAACCAGATAGATCTCGACGAGATGGATCTGAAAGACATTCAGCGCATGTTCCCCATTGTTATGAAACTACTGCTGAACGTGGCGATGAGACAGCGGCAGACCGACGCAATCCTGATCAAGACGTACCTGGTATCCCCCGGCTCCAAAAGCGTTGTGGCGATCCGAGCTCGGGTGAGAGCTTGGGTAAAAAAAAGGCAGAAGAGATTCGCACGTCGACGACAGGCTCGCAGATCGACACGGAGATGGTGAAGATCGGCACGATCAGCACCGCCGCCTTCGCAGGTCTGCTCGAAGGTCTACATCAGGAAGGCGCGTCCGTCGGAGGCCGCAATCAGCAGAATCTGACGGCGCTGGGAGAGAAGCTGAAGCTCCTGGAGATCAAGCACGTGGCCGAGCTCGTACCGCTCGTGAAGGCCAGCGACGCACACAACTCAGAGCAGTGCAAGTTGCAGATCAGCTTCAATCCAAGGACCGACCTCGATCTGAGTGTGATTCACGAATCGCTCCTCCAGACGGGGGCGGCCTACAAGCCAGGCCAGGGACTGATGGTGCACATGGAGCGGACCCTGCACACGAAGCTGACGCAGCTCGAGGACACGCTGATGGGGTAGATTTTTTCGGATTTCACTGGACACGACACAGCTGTGCGCATTGGAGCTCTTGTATTCATACGAATACCACAGCTGCTGCCGATGGGAGTGCAGCAGATATTACGACAGCGGGCCACAGCACAGCTGAAGTTGACATGAATAGCCAAACAAATTCACATATTGCCACTGGAGATACGCACCGCTCACCTCCTCCGACTGCCTGCGAGCACGCCTCGCGCCTAAGGCACGCGACGCGGTCCCGAGGAAGCAGAGGGCACCGACCGCCACGTGGACGTTCGTCGCAAGGCGAGGGGAGCCCAGCGGCTGCATCGGCGATCGCAGAGTCACCAGTCGTCTCGGGCCAGCATACTTCTTCATCTACGCGTGCTCCATCGAGCACGCCAGCTACTTCACTACCGACGGGAGCTCATACGAGAGCTACGTATTCTCCCACGCGTGCTCCGACGAGTACGCCTGCTACTGCGCAGCCGACGAGAGCCCCTGCGAGTGCGAGCGCGCGAGCTTCGACGTGTGCATCGACACGTTCGCGTACTGAGATGTGGACAGCTTCGCTGTTAGCACATGCCAGCGCATTCGCCCAGGCCGAACAGAATACCTCTGAGGCCCCTGAGCCTCGCCTGAATAGTGCCCCTGAGCCTCCTAGGGCCTCAGTGCTTCCTCACCCCTCCTCGCCTCGCGAGCCTCTGGAGTCTCCTCCTCCCCCTCCCCCTGCTAGAAGGCCTCGTAGGCCCTTCGTGCCCGTGCCTCCGTCTCAGCGCCAGCCGCACCCGCCCAGACGCTCGCCCTTTCCTGCCCCTGCTACCAGGCAAAGCCTAGGATGTGACTCGAAGACGATGGATGCCATCATGAGACTCGTAGATTCGAGCAGGCCTTAAGACCTGCGCCTCGATTTCCGTCAGTGTGTGACAACTCGATTTATACTCGGGTGTAGCCCGATCCTATAGGCACTCAGCGTCTGAGACCGTCGTACTGCTGCCTCCGAGGGGTCCGATCCGATCCGATATATATATATATATATAATATATATATATATATATATATATATATATATATATACATACATACACATACATACATACATACGTACGTACGTACATACATACAAATAAACACACACACGAATATGCATATACATATATATATTTATGACTCTCTATATATATGTGTGAATATATACATATATATATATATATGTATGTATATATATATACATATATGTTTATATATATATATGTATCCCGCCGCGGGCTGCTGCCGCTCCTGCAGCGCCCGGCAGCGCGCCGACTCGAGCGCCCGTGCCGCCGCCGCGCCGTCGGGCACAGCGCCGTCGCGCTGAGCCCACCGAGCGCCGCTGGCCTCGGCCGCGGGGCGTCCGCCTCGGAGGCTCCCCGCGGACCCCTCGGCCAGCAGCGGGAGCGGCACGGCGGTGGCCGAGGGCGCGGCGGGCAGCTGAGAGGGCCCTGCTGGCCCTCCTCCCCCCCCTTCTTGCCAGAGGGCGCCGGCCCTGGTCGAGGTCGAGGCGGCGGCCCTCCCAGAGGTCCGAGGCTCCCGAGAGAGGAAGGCGGAGCGCGGCGGGGCCTGGGGCCGCTTGCGGCCTCGGGGGGGCCCTCGCCGGGCCTCGCGGGAGCCCAAACGGCCCAGGCCGAGAAAAACCAGATCTATAGCCCATGGGGAAGGGTCTGGACCCCCCGGGCCCACGCATGGGAAAAACCGGAGCGGCCAGATATGGCTGCGGAGGCGTTCTGGGGCGCTGCCGCGGAGGCCCGCCGCCGCGCTTGGCAAGGGCGGCGTCGTGTAGGCGCTGGCCGCCCCTCCGAACCCCGCGCGTGGGGTCGGCTGCCCCTGCTGCGCTGCACGAGTCGGCATCGCAGGAGGGAGTCCTCCGCAGGGGGGACGAGGGGCGCCCCCTCCTCCGGGGGCTCCGCGCGCGCCGCCCAGTCGCCTGCCGCTGGCGCTCCGGCAGCCGTGAGCGCCCGCTGAAGCGCCTTCGCGATGAAGACGGCGCTCCTCCAGGAGCTCACGGCCGCGTCCTGTTGCGGGCCAGGCCAGTGTCCAGCCAGGGCCGAAGCAGGCGAAGGAAGGAAGACCGCTGCGATGACAACGGTATCCAGTCTGGCGCGGAGGCGCGGGAACGAGGAGTCAGGGAGGAGGGAGAGCGGAAGAGGAGGAGGAGGAGGAGGAGGAGGAGGAGGAGGAGGAGGAGGAGGAGGAGGAGGGGGAGGAGGAGGAGGAGGAGGGGAGGAGGAGGAGGAGGAGGAGGAGGAGGAGGAGGAGGGAGGGGAGGGCGACGTCAACGACTAGACGGAAAAGGAAGAGGAGGCGGTGGAAGAGGAGTCAAGAGGAGCCCAATTCCCCCTTGCCTCACTGATTGTCTTCCTGCTCCTCATCCTCGCAGTCCCCGTCCTCCTGGGTGCGGAGCCCCCTCCCTTTCCCCGTGCACCCTCGCACTCGCGAGGGGGGCCGTCATCCTCAGCCCAGAATTCCCGAGGCTCCCCAACGCGGGGGAGGAGCGGGGCGGGGGAGGATGACAACGACGGCGGCTGTGACGTTGGCAACGGCGACGGCGACTTTGGCGGCGACCCTGACGACCTTGAGGACGACAGCCTAGCCATTACAGAAGACACATAAAATAAGAAATTGGCCTGCGAGCAGGTGCCCCATGAAAATTCTAGACGCTTCGCGCAACCCCATGCCATTGCCAGGACCTGGCCACGGCCTGGCTCGGTTTCCTTGGCACTGGCCCCTCTAGGCCCCCGCTGGGGCGGGGGCGACGTGCCTCACGGCCTCGGCCGTTGGCTGTAGTTGTTTTCACCCTGGCCATTGCCCGGACCTGGCCACGGCTTGGCTCGGTTATCATGGCACTGGCCCCTCTGCGTGACGTCTCCGGCTCGCGCCTTCTTCAGGCAGCCGGGCCCGCAGCGGCCCTGTTGGCCCTGGCTTCCTGCCCCCCCTGCTCCACACGCCCAAATTCCTCGTTGGCGCATGGAGCCCCCGAGTGCACGTGGTCCAGCCTGTGCTCTCTGACCGTCGGCCGACTGTGTTGACTACGTCCACGGTTTCCTGGCGGCGTGTCCACACCTTCCGTGTTCACTCGACCACGTGCTTGAGGCGTGCACCTGCCCAGTTCCTGGTCAGTTCTCCTTTGATGTCGTCGACCTAGTTCGGGGGTGCGCGTGGTTTCTTTTTGATCCGTTGTCTCAGGTTCAGTTACGGTGTTGATCACATCCATCGTTTCCCTGGCACTCCGCTTTGCCGTTCGTGTTCATTCTGTTCACGGTTTGACGACAAACCTCCGTATCAGTATTCCCTTAAGGAGTGTCGTTGTGTGCAATTTTGGCGGCGCCACTTCCATGCACTAGCTTCCTGGTCAGTGAGTTTTTCCTGGCCTAGCTGGTGTTGGCGGTCCTTCGTGATGGTGCTCCTGGCTTCATCCTGGTATCGCTCCCGCGCCATTTTGGCTGCGCTCCAAACTTGGTTGGCTAATTATGCATGCGCTCGCTCCTGGACCTGTTTCCTGGCAGCTGCAGCCCGCACCACCTCTCGCATCCGGTCCGCTTAGGTGCTGCTTTGGCCACCGGTTAGCCGGCGCGTTAGGCAATTAGGTTCGCGCGTAGCCCGCCCGACCCGACTCGCCGCTGGCGCCTTCGCCTGCGGCTGCGACCAAAAAGTAACCCCACCAGCCCTATCCAGAAACGATACCCAGAGGAAGTGCCTCGATCAGGGAAGTAGGCAGCACACAGAGGAAGTGTCCCCCAGTGGAGGCCTCTTGGAGCGTCTTGGGTGCCTCGGAGAGCGTCTCTTGGGAGCATCTTGGAGGCCTCTTGGGCGCCTGTCGGGGCCTCCAGGGCGCCTGTTGGGGCCCTCCTGAAGCGCTTTTGGGGGCGTTCCTGGGGCCATCTAAGAGGACATCGATCAAACAAGCAGCGAGCATTAGTTAACGCTGCCCCTCGGGAGCCCAAAAAATCGCCTCATGGGGCGCTCTTGGGGCGCTCTTGGAGCGTTCTTAGGCGCTTTGGGGGCCGGCTTGGGGCTCTCTTGAGCCTCTCTTGGATCCATCTTGGGCCATCTTGGAGCCATCTTGAGGCCTCGGATGGCCATCGGAAGCGAAAAGGCGAGAAAGCCAAACACATAGATGTTCCTAAGGTTTTGGCCTCTTCGGGGCCTCCTGGAGGAGCTCTTTGGCCACTTGGGCCCTTCTTGGAGCGGCCTTGGGGCATCTTAGAGCATCGTGGGAGCCATTATGAGACATCTTGGGATATCTTGAGCCATCTTGGAGGTCATCTTGGGCTCGCCCAGGCGCTCGTGGAGTCATTTTAACCAGTGCCCCCCAAAAGGCCAACATGTAGCTAAAGCCTTACTAGAATCAATGATTTGGCATTCTCGCCGAGGCCTCTTGGAGCATCTTGGGTGCCTCTGGGGCGTCTCTTGGGGCCTCTTGGAGGTCTCTTGGGAGCCTCTTGGGGGCACCCTGGTGGCCTATTGGGGCTTCCTGGCCACCTCTTGGGGTCCTCTTGGGGCACCCTTGGGAGCCATGGGGGCCATGTTTAGGCCATCCTGGGCGAGATCGATCACAGGAGGGGGGGGCCTTAATTACGGTCCCCCCCCTCAGGAGGCCAAACTGGGGCCAAAACCTTAGTAAAACCAATGAGTTTGGCTTCCTCGCCGAGGCCGTTTTGAACGCCCTGACACCTCGCGAAGCCCCTCGTCCAGGTCCACGGGAAAAGGGGGAGACTGGAAGAGGAAACTCCCTAAACCACCTACGCCCAGAGGGCTGGTGAGATTTTTTATCCCCCGATGGCCCCAGGGACCCACAGAAACTTTGGAGCACACTAGGACCCATGAAGATCATTGAAACATTTGCCCCAAGATTTCTTATAGCACAGTCTCATATGGTATGAGCCCGCTGTACGATGGCGGCAGCGGGGACGAGCTTGACGACGACGGTCCCGAGGGGCACCACCATAGGGCCCTTGAAAATTGACACGGGAAGCTTCCCACCATTCTTGTAGCACGAATTCTTATCGTATGTGCCTACTGTCACATAGCAACGACGGCGACGAGCTTGACGGCGACGGCCCTGACCACGGCGATTGCCTGCCCCCTGGCCCCCCCCAGGGCATCAACGTGCGCGTCGAGCCCGCGCCCGCCTTCGGTCCCGCATCGGGGGTCACGGCTGCGGCCTCCGAGCGGGACGTTCTGGACAGAAACAAGGTCACCTGCGCGGGCGTGCGTCAGTGCGCGCATGTGTGCGTGCATGCGTGCGTGCGTGCGTGCGTGCGTGCGTGCGTGCGTGCGTGTATGTGTGTATGTGTGTGTGGGTGTGTGTGTGTGTGTGTGTGTCTTGTTCCAAGCGGCTTGAGGGCTTGGCCTTTACTCTCGCGCGCGCGCGCGCGCCCGCCTCTCCGACCTTGCTACGACCAGTCGCTGCGCGCGGGGCCGCGACGCCAAAAAGTGTGTGTGTGTGAGTGTGAGAGGGAGAGAGAGAGAGAGAGAGAGAGAGCCGGGCCAGTGCGAGCGCGTGGTCGACATTTTCTGCGCCGCCAAGCTCGGCACGTCTTCGCGAGGCCAACAAGTGCGTGTGCGTGTGTGTGTGTGTGTGTGTGCACCCGGATCTGCTCTGAGCGGGCCCGCTGCCCGCCTCTCCCCTCTCCTCGGCCGTCGCCTCGTCGCGTTTCCTCCCTTCCTCCTGCATGGTGGCAGAATTCGCCTGACGTTTGCCCCGTTTCGCTTTACTCGTCAGCTCAGTCCCTCGTCGTAGCCGCCAACGTTTAAAACAACGTGTGTGTGTGTGGATAGTGTGTGAATATGTGTGTGGCTCGCGCGTTTGCCCGCCTCCCGACCTACGCCTCGATGCTGCGCGCGTGGCCGCGATGTCCAAAAGTGTGTGTGTGTGTATGTGTGTGTGCGTGTGCGTGTGTGTGTGTGTGTGTGTACAGTGTGCGTGCGTTGGTGCGTGCGTGCGTGCGTGCGTGCATGCGCGCGCGTGTGTGTGTGTGTGTGTGTGTGTGTTCGTGTGTTCGTGTGCGCGCGTGCATCCGCTCTGGCGTTTTTCTCTGCTTGTGGCTGCCCCAATCCAGTCCACCCATCTGTTTCGCCAGGTGGCAATTCGCCTAAGAGTGCCCCGGCTCAGCGCATCTCGACGGTGCCGTAGCCTCGCCGCTGGAGGAAAAGCATATGTGCGTGCGCGTTCTCAGCGTAGCTGCGCGAGCAGGTATCTGCACTGCAGGCTGACCTGCGCGCAACCGCCGCCCCCGACCCGCTGCTGGCTAACTGCGTGAGGGTTGGCCAGCGTTGTGCTCGGTCTCCGGTTCGCCAGAATTTTGACGCCCGTCTGGATTCTTCCCTGGTCGCGTGCGAGCAACATATGTGTGTGTGCTGCGCTCTCTCACCAGTCAGGTTTTTTATGCACGTGGCCCGCGCCGAGTTGTTCACCCTCCTGCCACGGCAGTCCAAATTGACACAAATCTTGCCCCGCCTTAGCCTTTCGCTGCGTTGCACAGTCTATTCCGTGATCAACAATTATTCGCAACCTTTTTTTGCGAACGTTAAGATTTCTTCGCCACCGCACCGTTTGGCGAAGTTCCCCCCCCCTCTGGAATTCATGAAGAACGGTGCGGTTCTACGCAAATCCCAGGGGCGTCTTGAACAACTTCTTGGGATTCTGAATGTGAGTTTGTGTCTGGGAGTCGGTGTTCGTGTGAGTATTGCAGTTCTTGTCTTGTTTTGCCTGTCGTTTCTTGTCGTGCCTGTCGCCCCCCCCCACCTGCACCTGCCCTGTTCACCCGTGGGTATGTTGAGCTCCGATTTTTCTGTTTGTCACGCGTCTCGTCTTCGGTCTTCCGTTGTCCTCGTGGCGTTTCTTTCGCAGGGCGCTTTCTCTTCCTCCTATCCCTCGTCCGCCGTACAGCTCAGCAATGTTGTTGGTGCCTTGCGCGCGTGGCTGAGTCGGCGTCCATGGCGGTCGCCGTTGGTCCGGTTCTGGTCTGGGCGCGTTCTCAATCCGTCCGAATGCAGTTAGCTTTCGTGTTCCGCTTGGATCCACATCGGCGAAGGAGGGACACCTGCGCGCGCCACCTGCCACGCCTGGTGGAGCTCAGCTCAACCAGGCCCGCCTTGGCACTCGTGGCGGTGCCACTACTTCGCCACTGGGGGAACCTATTGTGTTTAATGCTTGCGTTTGTAAAGGTACATATTAAGACACATATATATATATATACATATATATATACATACACGTTAGCCAGCGTGGACCCTGAGCCGCAAGGTATTGCACTGTTGACGTGCAGGCGGTGGCGCAACCATGTGGTGCAATCGGTGTGGTGCAAGCTGTGTGGTCCAAGCTATGTGGTGCAAGCTGCGCGGTGGTGCAACAAGCGCCGTGCAACCCGCGCGGGGCAAGCAACGTGGTGGAAGCCATGTGGTGCAATCTATGTGCTGCGACTAACGTTGTGCAGCCTCTGTGGTGCAAGCTGTGCAGAGCAAGCAATCTGGTGCAATCTGCGCGGTGAAGTTCATTTTGAGGAACTTGGAGTTGTCAGCTCAATTGCTCGCGCAATCGTCGCACCCAACCACCCGTAACTTGGTTTGCAAACCGCATGCGGCGGCGATTGCGAAGAGTGTTTGGTGCTGGCGGGCGCATCGCTGCAGCCGCGCTAGCGCGCGCAGGCTCACGCACAACGGCCAGTTTGTTTGGCGCGATTGGCGCGGTCGCGGCGGCGATGACCGCTGGAGATTTCCCAGCGCGTCTCGCAGGCCGTGCTGTTGCGCGGGCGCTTCAGTGCGAGTCGGTGGTTCGGGCGGGCGTTGTATCATGGTGACGCCGACAGCGGCAGAAACGATGACGGTGGTAGCGATGATGGTGGGTGCCCATTAAAACGGTGACGACGGCAAGGCCAATGACGGCGTCGATGCTGGCGACGCCGGTGATCATGATGGTGTCCACGCGTCGGCGATGACGTTTCAGGAGGGATTTCTACATTCGCGTGCGGCCGACGGGCGCGAGCGGCCCACATGATATGATTTGACAAGAATCGTGCACTCCTAGCAAGCGCGCGAAGGTGTTTGAATGATTTCGGCGTGCGCGTGCGCGAGGGGCCCGCATGGTTGCACTTGCATGTGGTGGATTTGTTGGTGACAGAGAACATGGTCACCCGAAGCATTTGCCAGAGCGTGCGCATGTTGTTTGTTGACAACCTAAGTTGCGAAACGTGTGCTTCATATGTTTTCGGGAACCTAGATGTGGAATTCCGTGCACAGCTTATTTTTGCAAACGAAGTTCGGGCATTATTAAGAAGGTTTGATGAACTGGTGTGCGCGCGCACGGCTTCTGAACAGAAGAATGAGAAGGGCGATAGCAGCTTAGGCGGGATGGTACGACTTCATACGAGGAAGCGCGATGGGGCACGATTGCAGGTAAATTGTATGATCCCACGGGTATCAAGTAAACCCGGTCGGGACGTCCGACTCTTTTGAGAAAAGGAGAGTCTACGTGGTGGAAGTTACACGGTGACAGCTATGCGGTGTAATATTGATGGTGAACCTTACGTGGTGCAAGCTATGTAGTGCAATCGACGTGGTGCGGCGACGGACGGGGATGGGGCCGCCAGCCTGCAGACGTGCTTCTTAATCTGGAGAATTTTAGCGGCCACGTGCGGGAAGGGGGCCGCCGAAACCCTCCAGCCTTCGGGAGAGCTTCCTGCGGTCCCGGAAAACGATCACACAGCTTCTGAGAGGGCCGAAGGCCTCCCTCCCCCGCCCCACCGTGGAAGGTGATGGCCCTCGGAGACGTAGGCGCCTTGCCGCCAACGCTCTCACTGCCTCTCTCTCTTTCTCTTTCTCTCTCTCTCTCTTTTTCTGTGTTCTTGCATCTCTGTTTTTGTTCGTTTGTTTGTTTCCTTATCTTTCTCTCTTCTCTCTCTCTCTCTCACTCTCTCCTTCGCTTTTGTCGCCAACGCTCTCACTGTCACACTCTCTTTCTCTTTCTCTCTCTCTCTCGTTATGTTTTCTTGTCTGTCTGTTTTTGTTCGCTTCTTTTGTTTCCCTCTCTCTCTCTCTCGTCTCTCTCTCTCTCTCCTTCTCTCCTTCAGGAAAGGAGAGGACAACTGCGGGCCAGAGCAGGCAGCACCAGCGGGCGAGGTAGACGCGCCTTCTCGACAGCTCGGCACGGCGACCTCCAGGAGGCAGGGGCGACCTGGAGGAGGAGGAGGAGGAGGAGGAGGAGGAGGAGGGGGAGGAGGAGGAGGAGGAGGAGGAGGAGGAGGAGGGAAGGAGCAGGAGGAGGAGGAGGAGGAGGAGGACGAGGCTATGATACCTATATGGGACTACGTCGGAGGGTTACCCCCTCGCTCGCCAGTGCGGGCGCGAACAGGGGCGGGGGCGACCAGGAGAGGAGGAATACAGTCGGGAATTGTTGGTTGGCGTGGCGATCCGCCAGTTCTGGCCCGCCACGCTTCGGCGCGACACGCCAACCACGTCCCGGTCCCCGAACATCGCCGTCCTGAGCTTTGCCCAGCCTTCCGCCCCGCGGAGCGGAGCAACACGCCATCTGCGTGCAACGCATAGCGTGTCGCCGGAGCCGCCGCGGCGACACGCCAAGCAGAATTTCCTGACCGTCGTACCGCGAAGACTTGCGAACCTGAGCCCTGCGGGGTCGATCGGCCCAAACGTATTGGACACCCCCGCCTGGGATTCACTTGGCTGCAGACGGTGTTTCACAAATCTGAGCCACCGGCTTCCTTCCTATTTTGTTTGGTGCTGGAGACGGCCCACCTTCTTCCATGTTCTGAGCCCCCGCTGGTGGTCAGAAGTTCCCCCTGCAGGCAGATCCACATGTGCTGGCCTGTTCGCAGAACTGGGAGGAGGGGGTCGGGAGAGAGGAGGGGGGGGGGGAACACAGCAAGGTGGCGAAGGACAGAGGAGGCACACTGTGAGGACGAGCAGCAGCCCGGAGGAGCAAGGACGAGCAGCAGGCAGGAGGCGGCGAGGGGGGGGGAGGGAGGGGGCAGGGAGACGGAGCGAGGAGCGGCACCCCTCCTCCTCCTCCTCCTCCTGCTCCTCCTCCTCCTCCTCCTCCTCCTCCTCCTCCTCCTCCTCCTCCTCCTCCTCCTCCTCCTCCCCCCGGCGCTCCAGTTTGGTTCGGTGCGTGGACCCTTGGGGGCCTCGACGGCTGCCTCAGAGGGCCGGCTTTTCTCGTCCCCACTGGCTGCTGCTCTGGACGCCCGAGATGGGCACGGAAAGAATGGGTACGATGCCCAACGGCGGATCTTGTTCATTTTGAACAAGATCCGCTGTCCACGCCGTCGCGGCTTGTGTCCATTCGAGACAGGAGGCCGCCCGCCCAACAGCGGCCGCTGTCGGTTTGGGACAACATTTGCTGTTGGGCATGTTGCCCATTCTTTCGGTACCCATTTCGGGTGTCCAAAGCTGCTGGGGGCCCCGGGGGCCGCACTCGAGCAGTGGCGAAGCGTCCTGGCTGCCCACGTAGCCCCACCAAGCAATGTTCTAAGCACCTTTCTTGTGGTTTCCACGAGATGTTCTTGGAACAGTTCTGGCTGGGGCTGTCTTGGATTAACACATCGGGTGTATGTTCTAAGAGCATCGTACGGGTTCTGAGAACATGTTTGGGTTCTAAGAACATTTCGTGGTAGGACTACAGGAATGCCGGGACGGTCGGTCCCTGCTCAACGAACAGAGCCACGCCACGACCGCTCTCATCTTCTCGTCCGGGGCCTCGGATCTCTGGGTCAGCAGCCGGCGGCGGAAGAGGCTGGAGGAGGCCGCCGCCGGCGCCGGTCGGCAGGCATCCGCGGCGTGCGCGACCTCTTCTGGCTGGACGCCGGCGTGCTCCTGAGCACGGGCTACGAGGCGGGGCCGGGCGCGCCGGCCCGGCGCTCGGCCGCTGCCGCCGCTCAGCTGGCGCAGCCACCGAGGGGGGGCCGTGGGAGCCTCCGAGAAGGCCCCTCGGCCAACGAAGACGTCCACGAAGGAGAGTGTCGGCGCGAGGTGGGGCCCACTTTTCTCCACACCGACGTCACCGATGCATCGCCGACCTCGCCAGCGTATGGCCGATGCATCGCCGATGCATCGGCGATGCATCGCCGATGTATCGCCGATGCGGCGAGATCCTTCGACCCCATCTACTCGGACCCTATCAAGGAGGGCTCTAGGTTTTGCCGGGGCGGTGACAGGTGCAGGCAGATGGACCGATGACAGAAGGCCCCCCCCAGACAAGCCAGGAGGAGGAGGAGAAGGAGGAGGAGAAGGAGGAAGCGGAGGAGGAGGAGAAGCAGGAGGACGAGGAGGAGGAGGACAAGGAGAAAGAGCAAGAGGATGAGGGAGAGAAGGAGAAGGAGGAGGAGGAGGAGGAGGAAGAGGAGGCGGAGGAAATGTGCACGGGTTCACTCGACATTGGCAGTCGCATGTGCCAGTGCAGTCCGCAGTCGGCTTCGCGAATCGACGTGCGTCTCGCTGGACACATCCGATGGTTTTTGGACGTCGGCCGGCTACAGTCGGGGCGCTAAACAAGGAACCCTTTTCGTTGGGGAGGGGCTCCGTGTTCCGTAATTGTTTCGCAGCTTGCCTTAGGTTGTCCTTAGGTCTTCTACGGGGAATCGAAGTTTAACTTATTGAAGAAAAGGGGCCTCGTTCCTTATTTAGGGTTCCTTAGGTCAACGCCCCGACTGAACCCCGCTGGGTTCCGCTCGGAGTGCGGTGCTGTGCGCACGTGTAGTGCCCCTGGTAACTTTCACACACACACACACACACACAAAAAGGGCGTTTTACGAAAGAGGGTTCCGACCGCCCCCGAGCAGAGTTTCAGTGCACCGTACATGATGCTCTCCTGGCCCCTTCTTCCTCCTCCTCCTCCTCCTCCTCCTCTTCTTCTACCTCTTGTGCTTTATCTGGCTGCTCGCGGCTCGCGGCATTTTCCTTGATCCCGCGTCGAGCTTGCTAGACGCATGCTTTTGCCCACGCGCCTACTGGCGTATGGCTTGTTCGTTCGTTCGTTCGAACAGATACAGGCGGAGGTGTTTCGCCGTTTTCTGCGGGGCCCCGGGCCGTCAAGAGCCGATTCGGCACTGAAAAGCCGGTCGTGGGGAAAGGGTCGCGAGTCTTCCGGGAACCGCGTACAGGAACAAGAACATAACATCGGATCTTTGGGCGGGGAGCCCACGCCGTGATGGCGGGAGGCTGCTACGGTTGGATCTCAGCTGCGAGTTGTGGAGGTATCCCTCGGCAAGTGCGGTCAGAAACGTCTGCCACGCTGTGACACACGCTGGCGCCCACGCCGTCATGGCGGGAGGCTGCCACGACTGGATCCCACCTGCGAGTTGCTAACAACGTGGCCCGTTCACGTACGGTCAGGGGCGTTCGCTTAGCGTGTCGCCCCGCTGGCTCTTGCCCACCATGCTTCGGCGCGACACGCTGACCACCACTAATCAGAGCCCCGAATCATCAGGGGTAACTCAGGTCAGGGCTAACTCGGGTTCCTTATTCGGGAATCCGAACCCGACTTACCCCGGACACGAGTTACCCCGGATAACTCGGGCGTCCAGAGCCCCGAATCATCAGGGGCAACTCGGGTCAGGGCTAACTCGGGTTCCTTATTCGGGAATCCAAACCCGACTTACCCCGGACACGAGTTACCCCGGATAACTCGGGCGTCCAGAGCCCCGAATCATCAGGGATGACTCAGGTCAGGGCTAACTCGGGTTCCTTATTCGGGAATCCAAACCCGAGTTACCCGGGACCCGAGTTACCCCGGATAACTCGGGCGTCCAGAGCCCCGAATCATCAGGGATGACTCGGGTCAGGGCTAACTCGGGTTCCTTTCCCGGAAATCCAAACCCGAGTTACCCCGGACCCGAGTTACCCCGGATTTTTCGGGTGTCCAGAGCCCCGAATCATCAGGGGTAACTCGGGTCAGGGCTAACTCGGGTTCCTTATTCGGGAACCCGAACCCGAGTTACCCCGGACCCGAGTTACCCCGGATTTTTCGGGTGTCCAGAGCCCCGAATCATCAGGGGTATTTCGGGTCAGGGCTAACTCGGGTTCGTTTTTCGGGAATCCAAACCCGAATTACCCCGGACCCGAGTTACCCCGGATAACTCGGGCGCCCAACACTGAGCTCCCGAGCGCCAGCGCCCCGAGGTTCGCTCCGCCTCCCGCCGCCCGACAGAACAGAGCGACACGCTATCCGTCGGCGGGGCGTAGCGTGTTGCCGGGACCGCCGCTGCGGTGCGCTCAGCAAACGTTTCCGACCACCATCACCATCACCACCACCATCACCATCACCATCACCATCACCATCATCATCATCATCATCATCATCATCATCATCATCATCATCATCATCAACATCATCAGCATCATCAACATGATTATCATAATCATCACCATCATAATCATCATCAGAATCATCATCATAATCACCATCGCCATCACCATCACCATCACCATCATGATCATCACCATCATCATCATCAGCATCATCATCGTCATCGTCATCAGCACCAGCACCAGCATCACCATCATCATCATGTTCAGCAGCATCCTCATCTTCATCGTCATCAGCAGCATCATCATCAGCATCATCATAGTCATCGTCATCATCATCACCATCATCATCACCATCACCATCAACAACAGCCTCAACATCATCTCCATATCGCCATCAGCATCATCATCACCACCATCGCCATCATCAGAGGCTGATGATGCTGCTGATGATGATGATTCTGATGATGATGCTGCTGCTGATGATGATGATGATGATGATGATGATGATGATGATGAAGATGATGCGGAGGAAGAGTTGGAGGAGGAGGAGGAGGAGGAGGAGGAGGAGGAGGAGGGTGGTGGTGGTGGTGGTGGTGAAGATGAGGAGGAGAAGGAGGAGGAGGAGGAGGAGGACGGTGCTAGCTGGTTCTTGGGCCTGCTTGGAGAATTCTGGTAGGCTTCAGGTAGTTTTGCGGCGTTATTCGGGGCGGGGGAGCAGAAATTGGAGAAGGAGGAAGAGGAGGAGCAGGAGGAGGAGGAGCAGGGGGTGCAGGAGAAGAGGTGGAGGGAGGAGCAGGAGGAGCAGCCAGAGGGAAGATGGAAGCATGGAAGAGACCCGGGGGAGGCGGCCCTCTCTATTCCCTCCTGGCGTCTGCCTCTCCTTTGCCCCTCCGCCGCCCTTCTGCCGTGCAGGGTGCAGGCTTCTGGATGCCTTCGGCGGTCCCCGGGGGCTTCGAACGGGGGCGTCGAAATGATGACCAAAGAGGCAGCATATGTCATGGTTGGCACCATGCTATCTCCACAGATGTCACGGCCCGCCCTCTCGATGTCAGGACGCCCCATGGGGCCTTCCCCCTGGTCCGAGCACACGCCCGGGCCGTGATCTGCGGGAGCCCCTCTCTTTGATGCCCCCCCCTCTTCTTGGACGCCCCCGCTTGCGGACATCCCGGTGGTATTCCGAGGGAAGAGAAGAAAGTCGACCAAAAAACAAACGACGCCACCCCACCTACGGCCCGCCATGTTGCACTACGGCCCATCGGGGGCCGTAGCGCATACCACGCAAAGAACCCACGCCAGATTTGCTGGTGGACGATGAGCTCCGTGGGGCCGCAGGTGGGGTGGTGTCGTCGGTTGTCTGGTCCAGGATGCGGAGGGGCGGGTTCTGTGTGCCCCCTTCCCTCTTCCGCCTCCCCGCCCTGCCGTTCCCAGGAGGGTGTCGAGTGCCCAGGCGGGCCCACGCTACGGAACGCGTGTGCCGTCGTCCCCCCCCCCCCCCCCCTTCTCTCAGGAGGGGAAGAACACACACAGACACAATGAATCATCGATCCCCTGGAAAAGATGGGAAAATATGGGAAGTGGGGGGGGAGACGAAAACGCAGAAAACATAGGAAAATATGGGGAGTCCTGTTATTCGTGTGTATGTATTTGTGTGTCCCAGGGCCCCTTTCATTCTCCTCCTCCCAAGCGTGGGGGGGGGTGGGAAGCTGTCTGCTTGCTTCGGGAGTCGGCCCCGCCGTGCTCCGCGCCGCGGCCCGGCGAGTGCAGGACCTGCGCGACGAGAGGTACTTTGGCTGGATCATCGACCTGCAGGGCGGCGAGGCGAGAACAGAGAGAGAGAGAGAGAGAGAGAAAAAAAAGAGAGCGAGCAAGACGGATACGTAGAGAGAGAGAGAGAGAGAGAGAGAGCGAGCGAGCGAGCGAGCGAGCGAGCGCTCCATCGAGCGAGAAAGGAGTGGACGAGAAACGAGGAGGGACAGAGATCGGCAGGAGGCGGAGACAGAGAGGGCAAGAGCGAGGCGGAGGTGCAGAGGAAGGCTTCCTGTCTGCACCCGCGAGCCGAGACCCCGCGGTGGCGAGGCACATCACATCCGAGGGGCAAGCGGCCAACGACAGGGGAGGACTCTGGGGCAGCGGGGGGGGGGCGGCCCCCCGCGAGCGCTGCGGCCCCTGGGGCCTGCGACGTTCGCGACCGACGGGGCCGCCCTCCGCACCCGTCCTGCCCCATGCCCGCGCCGGCGGCGTGGAGCCGCCGGCAGCGCCGCAGCCGGCTCTGCACGTCGGAGGGGCCCCTCGCCGGAGTGGCCGCAACGGGGGGCGGCCTGCGGGTTCGGGGGGGGCGGCGCCGCGGGGCGGAGCCCAGGCTCGCAGGGGCGCCCCCGTCGCTCCGCGCCCGACGGCCGCCGGCAAGCCGCGCGCCGGCGGGGCACTCTTTGCCCAGGGTCACTGGTCGACTAGACGTAAGAGTGACCTGTCGCCGGAGTGGCCCCTTGATGCGGGCCCAGATGGGTCCCCAGATGGCTGAAGACGTAGCAGGAGCAGCGGCTTGCGCGCCCAGGTTTGGTCCCCCATGCGGCCCCCAAAAAGCCGCGCACCAAAGGTCACTCTTACCGAGGGTCACTCTTGCGTGTAGCCGAACTGGTTGCGCACAGCCGACGCCGCCTCCGCCCCTCTGCCGCCAGCCGGAACCCACCGAGCTGCCGCCGCCCCAGACTGGGGGGTAGGGCCCTCTTGGAGAGCCTTTTGGGGCCTCTAGGGGACTCCTGGGGACCTCTAGGCTTAAGTCGGGCACGTGCCTCTACAGGAGGAATGTTCGAAAATAGTTTAAAAAACAAAATAAGAAGGGGACGTTTTTTTGTATATTTTTGTCGATTTCGGTGTATTGTTGGGGTAGTTGTATTTTTTCCTTCAAAATCTGCCTGAAGGGGGACATGCTCGACCTTACTCTAGGCGCGGAGAGCTTCAAATGTCCGTTCGGGGACCCCTCTGGGCCCCTTCTTGGGGCGTTCTGCGGCCGTCTTCGGCCGTCTTGGGGCTGTCTGGGGTTGTCTTGGAGACTCTCTTGGGAGCCTCTTGGGCCGTCTAGAGACGATCTTGGGGGCCTCTCGGGCCGTCTTGGACGCCGTGAAAGCCCAAGAGGCGAACATGGTAAAGATATACGCTTTCCGAAGGGAGTGGGGCACTTTGCGCCTCTTGGGGCTCTCTTGAGAGGACTCTTGGGGGCCTCTGGGGGCGTCTTGGGGGCTTCTTGGCGGTGTTGGAGGCATCTCTGAGGCCGCCTTGAGCCATCTTGGCCGTTTTGGAGGGCATCGAAGTCGTCGTGGAGCGGGAAAGAATGGAAAATGGGCTTGGAAATGAGTGGGGCTTGGGTCTCCCCGTGCCTGGAACGCCGGTTATGTGCATATAGATCTATATCTTTATTTCTATGTGTATAGCACCCCGCAAGTGCGGATAAGAGTGAGGGGGCGGGCGCGGGCGACGCGGGCGTCGTCGAGCCGGCGGACCAATGGACGACAATGGACCCCAGCATACTCAGCAGTGCCTCCAGGACCTGGAACAACCAAGCAGGAGACATTGATGAAGGCAGAGCAGACGACCAAATAGCGAAGGCCTACTGGTGCGACTACCCATGTGAAGACGACGACGGACAAACACAATGCTGTGGGAAACGCTTCACGACAGCACAGGCATTACAGGCTCACAAAAGGGGGGCGCACAACTTGAGGACTTTACTATCGCAGATGATTATTACCAATCAATGCCCTTGGTGTTGGAGCACATTCAATACAAGAAAAACGGCAATTGATCATGCACACCGCTCGGCTGACAAGTACGGAGTGTGTCACATTGACTACAGCAAATGGGCGCACGAAGTACAGGCCCCACCAACACTAACATGCAGCTTATGTGGCCATGAGGCTCAAACCCTCCGCTCCTTTCAGTTGCACGTGAGAGAACATCACGAAGGCCCAGCAGACGTTGTACAGCGCACGTGCGATGGCCCTCCCTGCAGCAGAGTGGCAGCTCGCAGGGGCAGAGCCCAAGCGGGTAGCTGCCAAGAGAGGCGCCGCCGAAGCCGCAGTCGACGGAGGCAGCGGGACGAGCAGCGGCGGAGGCGGCAGGCGCCCTCCCAAAGGTTCTGGCAAGGGAGCAGAACCGTCCGACGGCAGCTACGAGGACAGGCTGGCGGTGACGATGAAGCTCTCGCTGCGCAACGCGCAGGACATTCGCGAGCTCTACCACACCACCTCGGACTTCTGGCTCCTGCCAGCATCGTCGCCCCCGTTCATCGCGGGCATGGAAGCCGCCAAGCAGTATGGACAAGCAGTACGCGCAGCAGGCAAGAAACACGGTCTCGGAACCCCCCACGTCCACATCTGCAGCGCCATGCTCAGGGAGATGTACGAAGCGCTGGACGGCGACACAGGGAGCACCACCGAGAAGACAGCCAAGGGCGTCATCCGCGAGTACATCGAGGCGACGACGGGCAAGATTGGACCACAGATCATACAAGAAACAGTGCTCTCCTGGAAAGTCAACGAGGCCTACAAGCGCGACGACCTGGACGAGTCCGAGCACAAAGGCAAACTGCAGTACACGCTCAACCCGCTCCCGGCCCTCGTGCCGCACCTGATGTCACAGGAGCCAGGCGAGGCGGTCCTGACCATGGCGAGGGGCTACTCGCCGACGAAGCTCAAGGAGGCCTTGACGACGGCGATCCTGGTGCTGAACGGCGTCAAGGGGCAGGGAGCGGCGCCCAAGAGTGCCCTGGAGAGGGCGGTCGAGGCGAGCCTACGCAGGCGCTGAGGTCGGGTACAGATCACTACCGGAGCTCGACGGCACCAGCCGTCCCAACGACGGTAGGCCTCGGTACGTCCCCACCTCTGGCCTCGCCTCCGTGGCCTCCTCAGCGAGCGGAGGAAAAATTGCCCATGAGATTTCTCTCGACCCAGCGCGTTTTGGGAAGCTCACACAACAGCGTGCGGTTAGTGAACGGTTTAATGAATTATACAGACTCGCATTGTCATACAGGGCGAGGAGAAGGAGAATGATGCAAGGTTTGGGCCTAGAGGAGCCTCAGCACCCCGAGAGACCCACAGGGAGCTCAAGCAGTAAGGAGGCCCACGACACGACCGAGCCATCATCACAGCAGCCACATCATAAAGGACCCGACGAGACACAGTAACCTCCAGAGGCCCCCCTTGGGCAGGGATCCTACTAGGATGTACGTTGTTTCCCGACTCTCCGACCTCCGACCCCAGCAAGAAGTGGTGCCCCACCGTTCTTGGTTACCGTTGCCACCTACTGGTTCAGACGGCCTCTCTTCTCTTTGTGACACCGCACCTTCCACGATATTATTTTGGCTCAACCAGCAGCAGCCTCCGACTTTCGTTTCTTGTACACAGAGCCGCATTGGCGGCATTACTTCTCCGACGGCTGCTGAATATGGCGAAGTCTTCAGCATGGTGCCCCGCAGATTGCGGAACAGAGCAAAGCATACCCATGCCTCAGATCTCGTACTTTGATGTAAGATATGCAAGCCCCATGGGAAGACTCATCATGGGCAATGAACGGTTGAGAACTACGAAGCCGCTGCTTGAACAACAAGCCCCAGCTGTTCAGGAAGCTCTGAAGGCACTGACCAGACAGCATGGACTTATTCGATTAGCACTACAGCGCCTGGCTCCACCAATGGAATATGATCTGGAAGAGCAGCTTGAGAAGCAAGAAGTTGTTCGCAAACTCGAGAGCCAGGCTCTTCAGGTGCAGAATGCTATGAATGGGCTGAAGTACACATTGGGCATACTTCGTAATGAAGATGAAGCCATGATCCCGCCTTGGCCAGATGCGACCAACTATGTGCATGAACTGGCCACGCATGAGCAGCATGGCAACGACGGGCCTCCCCAAGCAAGGCCATCATAGTAGGTATTAGTGGTTTCGCACTGACTCATTACTGCACTGACTCAGTACGTCATTGCATTGACTCATTACTTACGACAGTGACAGATGGTTCCTGCAGTGACTCATTACTTCATTGACTCATGACAGATGATTGCGGGGAGCTGGTTGGGAGTTGCTACAAACACCGACATAGGACGGTGGTGCATACGACGGCTGACTCACAAATGTGATTTTTTCTCCCCAGAGGACTGCAAAGTGATGAGGGTCAGATGATCCCCCATCCACTCCCCATGCCACATTGAATGAGAGAGTCAATTTTTATTCTGAGTATATCCCATCATTGCCCGCGTACAGGAAGGGCAGGAGATGGGCAGGGGAGGCCGCCGACCATGACGGCGAGCGGCTGCAGCAGCCGCCTCTCTCTCTTCTCTCTTTTGTTGCTGGTTGGTGCTATTCTTTTGCCTCTGTATCTACTTTTCGCCGTCGGACTAGACGGTCCGAGAGCGCTTCTTGAGAGGCTCCCTCGCCCAGAGGGTCAGGGAGCTCTCCTCCGCCCGCGAGGGCAGAAGTGTCCCCCTCCCCCACCCACTCGCCGAGTTGGGAGGACGACTTCGGGTCCCTCTCTACTTAGCGAAGGGGCGGGGGATGCGGGGGGCATTTCTACCCCACTTCGAGGTCAGCGGACCTCGCCGCTGATCTGTCTGCCAGGCAGGGGCGGACTGGCCCCCCTCCTGGCACGCGGTGGCAGGCCCCACCACGAAGGTGGGGGGCATGCTGCACAGCTCTTACGCAGGGGTCAAAGGCCTCTCGGTGCTCCAGAGGCTTGCGAAGACCCCCAAGCGCCTGACCCTGACCTGACCCTCCTCCTCCTCCTCCTCCTCCTCCTCCTCCTCCTTCTCTTCCTCGTCCTCGTCCTCGTCCTCATCGTCGTCGTCATCCTCCTCCTCCTCCTCCACCTCGTCCTCCTCCTCTTCTTCCTCGTCCTCCCTTTCCCCCCCCTCGTCCTTCCATCATCGTCCTCCCATTGTCGTCCTCCCCCTCATCGGCCTCCATCATCGTCCTCCCACTGTCGTCCATCATCATCCTCCTCTCCCTCCTCCCCCTCCTCGTGCTCCTTCTCCCCCTCCTCCCCTTCCTCGTCCACCTACTCCTCTTTCTCCGCATTCTCCTTACATCCTCTCTTTTTCCGCGTCCTCCTCGTCCCCTGTTTACTCCTCCTGCCTCCCCCTCCTTTCCCAAGTTAACGGCAACGCAGTCCTTTGTTCCACTTTATGCTCCTCGACTTCTCTGATCAAGGCAACTCGCCAGCGCAAAGTTGCTGGACGGGCTGGTGTGGATGCGCGGGGCTTGAAGAGGTCGTTGCGGGCTCAGACGGCATGCGAACATCCGCCGCCGCGCTTGTGCGGCATTGGTTTGTTCAGTGAGCGTGGTTTAGGTCGCGGGTGGGTCGCGGGCTCTCGACCTCCACTTGGAAGGAATGTAAAAGCAGCCCGCCGCAGGCGCAGAAACAATTGGTTTGTATGCCCGCCGCAGGCGCCGAACAAATGGTTTGTACCCTGAACGTGGTCGCGGGTGGGCCGCGGGCTTTCCACTTGAAGCGAGTGCAAAAGAAGCCCACCGCAGGCGCCGAAAAATGTGGTTTGTATCCTGAACGTGGTTTGCGTCGCGCGTTGGTCGCGGGGCGGGTCGCGGGCTCTCCACCTGGAAGGAATGCAAAAAAAGCAAGCCGCAGGCACCGAAAATTGCAGTTTGTACCTGAAGCGTGGTTTGGGTCGAAGGTGGGTCGCGGGTGGGTCGCGGGGTGGGTCGCGGGTGGGTCGCGGGTGGGTCGCGGGTGGGTCGCGGGTGGGTCGCGGGTGGTCGCGGGTGGTCGCGGGGTGGGTCGCGGGTGGGTCGCGGGTGGGTCGCGGGTGGGTCGCGGGGTGGGTCGTGGGGTGGGTCGCGGGTGGGTCGCGGGTGGGTCGCGGGTGGGTCGGGGTGGGTCGCGGGGTGGGTCGCGTGGGTGGGTCGCGGGTGGGTCGCGGGTGGGTCGCGGGTGGGTCGCGGGTGGGTCGCGGGGTGGGTCGCGGGGTGGGTCGCGGGGTGGGTCGCGGGGTGGGTCGCGGGTGGGTCGCGGGTGGGTCGCGCGGGTGGGTCGCGGGTGGGTCGCGGGGCGGGTTGCGGGTGTGACGACGACAAACAACAACAACAACAACAACAACAACAACAAACAACAACAACAACAACAACAACAACAACAACAACAACAACAACAAACAACAACAAACAACAACCAACAACAACGAGAATCCGCACCGCGGAATCCTTTTTTCAGCCTCGCACCCAGGGACAGTGAATGACCGTTCGGCCCCCTCACACTGATATACATATACGTGGGTATAACTTAGCATCTAGTAATGTGTGTTTTTACCTAACAGCGAAGACTGATAGGTTTCTAGTGGTGTAAAAAGAGAGCAGCACATTACACCACAGGGGGGTCTGGGCAGCCGTTGGGGAGCCGTTGGGGGGCCGTTGGGGGGCCGTTGGGGATTGCCGGGGAACCTTGTTTTTCGCAAACAGTCACACACTTCGTGCTTTTCGACCTCCCAGAACTCCATTCTTCGACCTCCCAGAACTCCATTCCCGGGCCGCATTCTGAATGCCCGGAGCCAACTGTAGGCCACTTCGTGGTCTTCGAGTTCCCAGAACTCCATTCCCGGGCCACATTTTGGATGCCCAGAGCCAACTGTAGGCCACTTCGTGGTCTTCGAGTTCCCAGAACTCCATTCCCGGGCCACATTTTGGATGCCCGGAGCCAACTGTAGGCCACTTCGTGGTCTTCGAGTTCCCAGAACTCCATTCCCGGGCCACATTTTGGATGCCCGGAGCCAACTGTAGGCCACTTCGTGCTCTTGGACTTCCCAGAACTCCATTCCTGGGAATGATTTTGAATGCCCGGAGCAAACTGTAGGCCACTTCGTGTTCTTCGAGTTCCCAGAATTCCATTCCCTGGCCACATTTTGAATGCTGAGGCAGGCTGATGCTGAGGCTGAGGCAGGCTGAGGCAGGCTGAGGCTGAGGCCGAAGCTGAAGGCAGACTCAGGCTGAGGCTGATGCAGGCTGAGGCTGAGGCTGAAGCAGGCTGAGGCTGATGCAGGCTGAGGCTGAGGCAGGCTGAGGCTGAGGCTGAGGCTGATGCAGGCTGAGGCTGAGGCAGGCTGAGACTGAAGCCGAGGCTGAAGGCAGATTGAGGCTGAGGCTGAAGCAGGCCGAGGCTGAGGCTGAGGCTGAGGCTGAGGCTGAGGCTGAGGCTGAGGCTGAGGCTGAGGCTGAGGCTGATGAGGCTGAGGCTGAGGCTGAGGCTGAGGCTGCAGGCTGAGGCTGAGGCAGGCGAGGCTGAGGCCGAGGCTGAAGGCACTGAGGCTGAGGCTGAGGCTGAGGCAGGCTGAGGCTGAGGCTGAGGCAGGCTGAGGCTGAGGCTGAGGCTGAGGCTGAGGCTGATGCAGGCTGAGGCAGAGGCAGGCTGAGACTGAAGCCGAGGCTGAAGGCAGATTGAGGCTGAGGCTGAGGCAGAGGCAGGCTGAGGCTGCGGCTGAGGCAGGCTGATGCTGAGGCAGGCTGAGGCTGAGGCTGAGGCTGATGCAGGCCGAGGCTGAGGCAGCCTGAGGCTGAGGCCGAGGCTGAAGGCAGACTGAGGCTGAGGCTGAAGCAGGCTGAGGCTGAGGCTGAGGCAGGCTGAGGCTGAGGCTGAGGCAGGCTGGCTGAGGCTGAGGCCAGGCTGAGGCTGAGGACTGAGGCCGAGGCTGAAGGCAGACTGAGGCTGAGGCTGAAGCAGGCTGAGGCTGAGGCTGAGGCAGGCTGAGGCTGAGGCTGAGGCAGGCTGATGCTGAGGCAGGCTGAGGCTGAGGCTGAGGCTGATGCAGGCTGAGGCTGAGGCAGGCTGAGGCTGAGGCCGAGGCTGAAGGCAGACTGAGGCTGAGGCTGAAGCAGGCTGAGGCTGAGGAGGCTGAGGCTGAGGCTGAGGCAGGCTGATGCTGAGGCAGGCTGAGGCTGAGGCTGAGGCTGATGCAGGCTGAGGCTGAGGCAGGCTGAGGCTGAGGCCGAGGCTGAAGGCAGACTGAGGCTGAGGCTGAAGCAGGCTGAGGCTGAGGCTGAGGCAGGCTGAGGCTGAGGCTGAGGCAGGCTGATGCTGAGGCAGGCTGAGGCTGAGGCTGAGGCTGATGCAGGCTGAGGCTGAGGCAGGCTGAGGCTGAGGCCGAGGCTGAAGGCAGACTGAGGCTGAGGCTGAAGCAGGCTGAGGCTGAGGCTGAGGCAGGCTGAGGCTGAGGCAGGCTGAGGCTGAGGCTGAGGCTGATGCAGGCTGAGGCTGAGGCAGGCTGAGGCTGAGGCCGAGGCTGAAGGCAGACTGAGGCTGAGGCTGAAAGGCTGAGGCTGAGGCTGAGGCTGAGGCTGAGGCTGAGGCTGAGGCTGAGGCTGAGGCTGAGGCTGAGGCTGGCTGATGCTGAGGCAGGCTGAGGCTGAGGCTGAGGCTGAGGCAGGCTCAGGCTGAGGCAGGCTGAGGCTGAGGCCGAGGCTGCAGGCAGACTGAGGCTGATGCAGGAGCAGGCTGAGGCTGAGGCTGAGGCAGGCTGAAGCTGAGGCTGAGGCTGATGCTGAGGCAGGCTGAGGCTGAGGCTGAGGCTAATGCAGGCCACTGCGACTGTCATCGCGAATGCGACTACGACTGCGAGAACAGCAGAACTCTACAACTGGATTCTCATCTGAATCTTAAGGGGGATGCTTCCAGATATGCTCCTACACATCGCTGTTAGGTTGCTTTGCCGGGATAATTATATACAGGCTTATATACATATATATATGTATACGTATACGTGCCGGTAAACCCATATATGTATATACACATACATATGCACATCCATTAGTTTATGCATGAGAGAGGCGTACATGTATGACTGGTTATATATTAGGATTTCGCCCTCTGCCGCCGGCCCCCCTATTACTATTGCGTGCGGCTGCGTGGATAGCGCTGTGGGTGCTTCTGGTGGCAGGCTTCTCGACAGCGTCTGTGGGTCACTGTTGGAGCTCCTTGGAAGCCGTTTTGGAGCCTCTTGGGTCGTATTTTGGGTCTCTTGGGGGTCTCCTTGGGGCCTCTTAGGGCCGCTTGGGGGCCTCCTGGGGCCCTCTCGGGGCGGAAAGGTCGAGTTTACGGTTCGTGGGCTCCCTCTTGGGTCTCCCTCGGGACCGTCTTTGGGCCCTTTGGGGCCGTCGGGCCGTCTGGGGCGCCTCTTGGACCGTCTTGGGTCACTCTTCGGCCGTCTTGGGGCCGTCTTTAGGCCCGTCTTGGGGGCCGCTTGGGCCGTCATGGGAGCTTCTAGGGCCGTCGTGGGGCGCTTTTGGGAACCTCTTGGTCCGTCTCGGAGCGTCGGAAAGTCGAAAAGGCGAGAAGGCCAAAAACCTTCAAGAACGTAAGGAACATCTTTGATTTGTTGCTTCGTGGGGCCCTCTGGGGAAGCCTCTTGGAGGCCTCTTGGGCCGTCTTGGGAGCACCTTGAGCGTCTTGGGCCCATCGTGGGACATCTTGGGCCGTCTTGGCCTCCTGAGGCTCTCATCGGAGCCTCGTCTGGCAATCTTGGAGGCCTCTCGGGCCGTTCTGGCCGCGCGGTGGCGTCGCCATGAGAATCCTGGGGTGGCCCGGAGCAGCCTGGATTTGAGGTTTACCCACCCCGTTGGCTGTTTGGTGACGCGGCGGGGCCCCTTCCAGTATAGTAAACAGGAAGCAGGAAGCAGGACTGGAGAGACAAAAGGCCAAACAGCAGAAGACAACACATAACACATGACAGCAGACCGCGCACACCTTCGCAGCCTTGTGCCCCCGGTGGGGGCCGGCGGATCATGTTGACAAACGCACACACAAACACACACACACACACACACACACACGCACACACACACATACACACACACACCGATATCCATTCAAATAAATCCGAAAGATGCCTGGTGGGTTTGCGTGGGCCCCGGCTCCCAGAGCCGTCAGAGAACCCCACAACGGCTCCGGAGGGCCCCCGGAAGGGCCCGAAACGGCACCGGAGCTCCCCAAAAGAGCCCCGAGACGGCCCATGGAGGCCCCGAGACGACCCAAGACGGCTTTCAGGCGGTCCAAGATCTTCTCCAGACGGCCCCATGAGCCCCAAAGACGCCCCTGGACGGCTCCAGGCAGGTCCAAGGGGTCCCCCGAAAGAGCTCCATCAAGCAAGAATCTTCACAGTCCCTTCGGAAAATTGACATCTTCAGCAGATTCGGCTTGTTGGTCTCCGAAGCGTCCAACACGGCCCCAGAGGCCTCCAAGATCGCACAAGACGGCCCCCAAGAGGGCCCACAGATGGCTCCAGACGGGCCCAGGACGGCCCAAGAGGCGCCCAAGACGACCCAAGAGGATCCCACGAGAGGCCGAGAGGCCCAAGAGGGGCCCAGGACAGCCCCGAGACGGCCTATGGAGGCCCCGAGACGACCTCAGGCGGCCCAAGATGCTCTCCAGACGGCCCCATGAGCCCCAAAGACGCCCCCGGACGGTTCCAGGCGGGTCCAAGGGGTCCCCCGAAAGAGTTCCTTCAAGCTAAATTCGTCACAGCCCCTTCGGAAAATTCACATTTTCAGCAGATTCGGCTTATTGCTTTTCGAAGCGTCCACAACGGCCCCAGAGGCTTCCAAGATCACCCAAGACGGCCCCCAAGAGGGCCCACAGATGGCTCCAGACGGGCCCAGGACGGCCCAAGAGGCGCCCAAGACGACCCAAGAGGACCCCACGAGAGGCCCAAGAGGGGCTCAGGACAGCCCACGATGGCCCCAAGACGGCCCGATAGGCGCCCAAGATGGCCCAAGACGGCGCCCACGAGGCGCCCTGCCGGCCTAAGAGGGCTCCGAGAAGCCCCCGAGGAGCCCAAAACAGTTCCCATAGAGCTCCCAAACGGCTCCCAAGAAGCTTCAAAATTGTTTCCAACAGAGGGGGGCGGACGAGAGGCGAGAGGCTTGACGCTCCGGTGGCCCTGGGGCTGCCCCGCTGCGCTCCCTACTTTGCCGCGACTCCGTTCCGACGCCTCTGACGCGGCCCGAGACGGCGCCGCGTTTGCCCGAACCTGCTCCCGCGTCCGCCGCGATCCCGGCGCGAATCTTCCAACGTTTCTCAGGCCTGGACTCCTGAATTTCTGCCTCTTGCGAAGCTCGAACACTTCCCGTTTCGATGCATTGGGCGCCTTCGGCGGGGGAAAAGCACTAGAACAAGCTTCAAAGGATCTACGGCAGTAGCTGGCAGCGTCGCACCACCCAGCGCGCGCCACCATGCTTCGATCCGCCCAACTTCGCGGATTTAATCCACGGGTCCACACTCGTATCTATATATATATATATATATGTATGTGTATGTTCATGTATATGTAGATGTAGATGTAGATATAGATATATATATATATATACACGCAGAGATAGGGAAAGGGATATATATATATATATAGAGAGAGAGAGAGGGAGAGACGCATGCGCATGCCCATGTGTGCATGTGTGTGTGCACATGCGCAGCACGCGTATACTGGCAGCGCGTGGCCCCGGAGATCTCGCCCCCCTCCCCAGGGCCAGCCTCCCGCCACTGGCCCCGCCCTCTCTCGGGGGCCTCGGGTGCCCGAGCGCTGGCCTGTGCCGAGGGCACGCCGGCCGCCGCGAGGTGCCCTCGCGACGCGGGTCGCTGGCGGGTCCCCCCTTCGGCGCCCTCCTCCTCCTCCTCCTCCTCTTCCTCCCCCAGCGAGGAGGTCCACGAAGCCTCCCCGACATGGATGCTGGGGATGTCTCGAGCGAGGGGGGGGGGGGGGGGCACATCACCAGGGAGACGCCCCTGGCCTCCTCGCACCTCCTCGCCCTGCTGGTGCTGGTGTCGCCCTTCCCTGTTCCCGGCCAGGCGAGGGTGGTCGCGCTCCCCAGCAACAACGTGAGCCTGGTCGTGCCCGTGGGATTCCCCCCCCGCGCCGGGCGCGCGGCCGCTGCCGCCGCGGGCCCGGCCCCGCGCCCCTGCTCGGGGGCCGACGGACGAACAACACGCACCCATTCAGAGCCCCGAATCCTCAGGGGTAGCTCGGGTCAGGGCTAACTCGGGTTCCTTTTTCGGGAATGCAAACCCGAGTTACCCCGGACCCGAGTTACCCCGGATAACTCGGGCGCCCAACCCATGCCCCTACAAGCCTCGTCAAGAATAAACAGAAGACTTCTGAATTCGGTGGTTGTGGGGTCAGCTCTGCTCCAGAGCTGACGGATTCCTGTTGACTCGGGAGCGGTGGTGTCCAAAAGCCGAGCCCACCCTCTGTCAGCATTGAAGAGCGCGCTTTCTGAGAAGTGCCCGAGAGCATCGTGCTCCAAGATTTCAACTTCAATTTCTGGATATGTTTGACGAGGCTTGCAGGAGGCGACGGAGGGCGCCATGGGGTGCGTGTTGTCGGAGGGGGGTCCCCACCGGAACGGGAGCTCCCCTGGGGGTCCGACGACCCGCACCCACACCCATGGCCAGCCCTCCTCCGCTCGGCCGTCCTTATGGGTGTGTGTGTGTGGTGTGTGTGTGTGGTGTGTGTGTGTGTGAGTGTGAGTGTGTCTGTGTGTGTGTGTCTGTGTGTGTGTGTCTGTGTCTGTGTGTCTGTGTGTCTGTGTGTCTGTGTGTCTGTGTGTCTGTGTGTCTGTGTGTCTGTGTGTCTGTGTGTCTGTGTGTCTGTGTGTCTGTGTGTCTGTGTGTCTGTGTGGTGTGTGGTGTGTGCGTGTGCGTGTGCGTGTGCGTGTGCGTGTGCGTGTGCGTGTGCGTGTGCGTGTGCGTGTGCGTGCGTGTCTGTGTGTGTCTGTGTGTGTCTGTGTGTGTCTGTGTGTGTCTGTGTGTCTGTGTGTCTGTGTGTGTGCGTGCGTGTGTGTGCGTGTGGGTGTGTGTGTGTGGGTGTGGGTGTGGGTGTGGGTGTGTGTGTGTGTGTGTGTGTGTGTGTGTGTGTCTGTGTGTGTCTGTGTGTGTCTGTGTGTGTCTGTGTGTCTGTGTGTGTGGGTGTGTGTGTGTGTGTGGGCGTGTGTGTGTGGGTGTGGGTGTGGGTGTGGGTGTGTGTGTGTGTTTGTGTGTGTGTGTTGTGTGTGTGTGTGTCGTGCGCTCGTCCGGGGCGACGTCAGGGGGCCATGGGCTCAGGGGGGGCGGACGCGTCGACCCCCAATCGCCCGTGGACCGCCGATGGCCAGCGAGGATAAAGCAAAGAACCCCTGGTCCCCCTCCAGAGGGATTTTCTACGAAAAATTAGCCTGACGAAAGACCCAACCATACGTAGTTGTGAATACCGCAATTGTGGATATATTCTTCGGTGGCGCCCCCCGGCCACGAAACATGTGAGGGGTGTGCCGAAATGGGGGGGTGGAACCGCATGCGGGCGCAGCCACTGGGGCGCTCGGTGGAGCTCCCTATGGGGCCACGAAACATGTGAGGGGTGTGCCGAAATGGGGGGGTGGAACCGCATGCGGGCGCAGCCACTGGGGCGCTCAGTGGAGCTCCCTATGGGGCCACGAAACGTGTGAGGGGTGTGCCAGCATGGGGGGGTGGAACCGCATGCGGGCGCAGCCACTGGGGCCTTCGGTGGAGCTCCCTATGGGGCCGCGAAACGTGTGAGGGGTGTGCCAGAATGGGGGGGTGGAACCGCATGCGGGCGCAGCCACTGGGGCGCTCAGTGGAGCTCCCTATGGGGCCACGAAACGTGTGAGGGGTGTGCCAGCATGGGGGGGTGGAACCGCATGCGGGCGCAGCCACTGGGGCCTTCGGTGGAGCTCCCTATGGGGCCGCGAAACGTGTGAGGGGTGTGCCAGAATGGGGGGGTGGAACCGCATGCGGGCGCAGCCACTGGGGCCTTCGGTGGAGCTCCTTATGGGGCCACGAAACGTGTGAGGGGTGTGCCAGAAGGGAGGGGGAGGAGGGAGGAGGAGGGAGAGGCGGAGGAAGGAGGAAGGAGGAAGGAGGAAGGAGGAAGGAACGCGGGGACCGTCTCTTCAAAACGAGGACCCAACAACACAGGTTGGTTGGGAATAAAAGATACCCAATAAATAACAACAAATTATAAAACAATAGTCCCCGACCTTTTTTTGAGTATTTTTTACCTTTTTGGAGCATTCTTGGGGTATTTTTTTTTGTTCGTCGAAAATCCCCCTGTAGGGGGACAGGCCCTACATAATCCTACTAACATGGTGAAGGCGTGGCCTCACTCACTGGGGTCCCCGTCTTTGTGTAGGGATGATTGATCTGGGCGGCTTGGCCTGATACGTCTGCAGGACAGACCCCTCCTCCCTAATGTTCGTTGGCCTCCTGGCCAAGGTCGCCTCCCAGAGGGTTGGGGGTCCTTTCATTGCTAATCAGATAAGGGCCCGATAGCCCACCCCGCCAAAGACCGTGCGGCTTCGCCGCTCTACCGGCGAGGGCTGAGGCTTCCGCCCCTGAGCCGGTCCCCCCTTCTCGTTGCCCTTCACCTGCCCACTGCGCGGCCGGAGTCTGTGCCACGGCCGTCCTCTCCCACCTCCAGGGCCGAGGGAGGACCTAAAACAGGGCTAGGATCGGGATAAATCGCTCCAGAGCGTTCTGGAGCGCTCTCAGAGCGTTCCGGAACGCTCTGGAACGGCCGCGGCGCCGAATACATCCTCCAAACCCGCCGATCCTCAGAGATTTCGAGTTATCCCGATCCGATTTTGTCCCGATCTTCGCGTCGTTTTAAGGGAGGACCTGAGCCGACGGCAGAGGTCGTTTCGTCGGCAACCTTTGTGTGAGTCGATGCGGTGTGGGGTGCGGCTGGCGGTGCCAAGCAGGCCCGCCCTTAATTGTCGGACCGCGGGCTCTGCGGGGGCGGGCCGCAGACGCCTGGACGGCCCTGGCAGGTTCGGTTCATTTAGGGGCCCTGGTCCGGCTGAGGGCCGAGGGCGTCATCTCGTGCGCTCGCCCTCCCTCGGTCGTTCTCTCCATCTCCCCAGCGCGATCGTCATCCTCGCTCGCCCGCGCAGCTCCTGCTGGCCCGAGGGAGCCCGTTCGTTCCCGGTCCGGTCTCGGTCCGGCTCGACAGAGAGAGGTCCGATCCGACCCCCATCCGGCTCCGCGGTTCCGATTTCCGAGCCGAGGCGGCGATCGCCGGCTTGGGGCCCCGATCGCCAAAGATTCGACCCGGCTTCGATGTCGATCCGGCTTCCCGATCCGATGCCGATGCCCCGGTGCCTCTGCTCCACGGGGTGTGCCGCGCAAGCGGCCCGCGCAGGCCGCGGCGATGACGATGACGATGACGACGATGATGACGATGCCGACGACGACGACGACGACGACGACGACGACGATGACGATGACGATGACGATGACGATGGCCAGGCCTGGGGGACCCAGAGATCGGAGGTTGCCAGAGGTGCCCCCAGGTGCCCAAGGCGCCCCCCGGACTTCCGAGGAGGTCCCCACGGCCTCCACCGCCCACGAGGCGCAGAGGTCCCCAGGGTGGAGCAACGAGCTGCTCGCGGGGCGCACCTGCTGCACACCCAGCGGCGGCGCAGCCGTGCAAAGGGCCGTCGCAGACTCGGGCGCGTCGCACCCGTCGACGGCGCAGCCGTGCAAAGGGCCGGGGGCGCCCTGGGCCGGGGGCACTCCTGGCAGGCGTGGTGCCTCTTCTCCGGTGTCCTGCTGCCCCTCCTCCTCCTCCTCCTCCTCCTTCTCCTCCTCCTCCTCCTCCTCCTCCTTTTCCTTCCTCCTTCTCCTCCTCCTCCTCCTCCTCCTCCTTTTCCTTCCTCCTTCTCCTCCTTTTCCTTCCTCCTCTTCCTCCTCCTGGCAGCCCCCCGGCCAGGGCAGGCCGAGGCCCTAACGTTTTCCCCCGGCGGCCGCCCCTCCAAGGCCCCACCGGCGCCCCCATCGCGCGGCGTCTCCCGCGCGCGCGCGGCGGGCCTCGGAGGCGGGCTCCTCGTCGAGCGGGCTCGTGGGCTCGTGGGCTCGAGGGCTCGAGGAGGAGGAGGAGGAGGAGGAGGAGGAGGAGGAGTTCGAGTTCGAGTTCGAGTTCGAGTTCGAGGAGGAGGAGGAGGGCTCGTGCGGTGGCAAGTTGTTCGTTGCAGCGCGTGCGGCCTGCGACCTTTGAGGGAGACGTGACTGGCTCCCTGCATGTCACGCCCGCCAGCCACAGATAAGCACATGCCCGCGATAATAAAGCGTCCCCCCTGAGCACCTGATTCATGGTCATCCATGGGATACTCATATTTCATAGGCGGGCGGAGCGGCGAGGCTGAACTCGATGACCACCCGGGAAGGGACAACTCGTACATTGAATCATCATATTTTGAATATTATGTGTTATCATCGTCCGCATTCTTTGTTGTCATCATCACCCTCTGGTAGATCCCCATTCTGGCATCGTGGCCCCATGTGGTGCTCTAGCGTTATGCTTGCTTTATTGCGATGAGCATAGGACTACGCAAACGAAAGAACTTGGATAGGGCCGAAACAGCCAAACCGCCGTTCATCGCCGTTATCGCCGAACGCGCACCAGCTGAGCTTGTTTGTCGCCGTCATTGCCCCCCCAAAAGAGTAGCCATGAGTACTCCTACACCAAGAAGCCTTTTAGTTTTACATCTTGAATTCGATAGGTCGGTCCGAAGTTCTGATTTCTCTTGAAATCTCCTCCTCCTCCTCTTCCTCCTGCAGGCAGGTCCCCCAAGAGTGGCCAGTGTATCATTTTAATATCGTGTGGTTCAGGGTTCGTGCTTACCCAACTCCTTCAAACAAGCTCCAGGGGAAGGCTTCTCCAGATCACCTTGGAGCCATCCACACATCTTAACATCGATATCTCCAGTGATCAATCTTATCCTTTCAGGATCCCGAACTTTTTTATCCCCATGGCTTGATTATCACGGGCACAGGGTTACCCGCCAGGGGACGGCCGGTACGGGAGCAACAGGAGCGGCAGCTCCGCAGAGTGGGTGGTTCTCCGCGACTGCATTCTGCTTGTTTCGAGCTGTATTTGGCGTTGCGCCTGGGGAGACGATCCTTGGGCCTCCTATGATTCGGCGGCCAGCGAGGGGGGGAAGTGAGAAGGTGAAAAGGCCCTCTCAGGAGACGGCGGGGCTTCCCAGAGGCCCTCCAGCCTTCTGAGCAGTTTTCTCTGTCTTCGGGGAAGCCTTAGACAACCTCTCACAAGGCTCGGGGACTTCCGAGCCTTCCGAGAAGGCCTTCTCTTTCTCAGTTCCCCCCGGCTCGCCGCAGGTAGATGGGGTCCGAGTAGATGGGGTCGGAGGACCGCGCGGCATCGCCGATGCATCGCTGGTGCAGCTCGATGAGGAGCCCGATTTTCTCGACACGGACGTCGGCGCTGCATCGCCGACGTCGCCTGTCGCCTGTGAATCGCCAATACATCGGCGATGCATCGCCGATGCATCGGCGATGCGGCGCGATCCTCCGACCCCATCTACCCCAACCCCATCTGGAAGCCTCTATCTTTGGCGTTGCGCCTGGGGTGACGATCTGACTGTGTGTGTTGCTCTGCTTTCCAGCACGAGCACTTTATGTTGCAGTGCGTCGCGCTCGAGCTGCTGTTTTTGTTGCAGACAGCGTTATGCCTTTTGTGCTGCTTGTCTTGGCTTGTGTCCAACTGATCTCATTGTCAACCGCTCGATTGTGCTCCCAGTCCTCAGCAAGATCAGTTTCCCCCCCACGACGGGTTCGCGCACACCTGGTCCAGGACGCGGGCTGACTCGACGCTGACGACGACGACGACGACGACGACGACGACGACGACGACGACGACGACGACGACGGCGACGACGACGACGACGGCGACGACGACGACGACTACGACCGCCTACGAGGAGCGGCGACGACGACGACGACGACCTCGTCGTCGTCGTCGTCGTCGTCGTCGTCGTCGTCGTCGTCGTCGTCGTCGTCGTCGTCGTCGTCGGCGGCACGCCTCCCCGCGCGCTGCGCTCGCGCGCGCGCGCCAGGACTCGACGGCCGGCCCTCCGTGCGGCGCGCCGACGCGGGCGGCGTGGAGGTGCTGCTGAGCTACCGCAGCGTGGGCACCGAGTCGCCCGGGCTGAGCTGGTGCCGGGCTCGGCGGCTCCGAGGGCGCCTTCCATCTGGACGCCCGAAATGGGTACTGAAAGAATGGGTACAGTGCCCAACAGCGGATCTTGTTCATTTTGAGCAGGGCTCGCTGTCCACGCCGCCGCGGCCTGTGTCCATTCGAGACAGGAGGCCGCCTGCCCAACAGCGGCCGCTGTTGGGGGTCAATGCAAACGGGGGTCAGCCAGGGCGCCAGATCCTGCAGGATCCTGCGAAGACCCCCTCTGGCTGACCCGGGTCAGCGAGCCGCTCGAGGCCGCGAGGCGGCCGCGCATATTGGCTGACCCGGATTTGCGAAGACCTGCGTTGCAGTTTTTTGTTCCTGCATTGCAGTTTTTGGTTTCCTGCTGACCCGGGTCTAGATTGACCCGGGTCAGAAGATCCCCGAGGCCCTTTCCAGGGGAACAATTGCAGTGGAGACCCATGCCAAGAAACACCCTGCCTGCCTGCCTCCAGGGTGCCCTGGGCTTCGATGGTTTTGCGACGGACAGCGTGACGTTCTCACACCTGACATCAAGGGACGTCCTGGGGTCTCAGGGTTGGGTTTATCGCGGAAGGTTTCTTGTGGTCGCGCCCTTATTGTATTGGCATAAACATAAGAACCTGGAGCTCTGCGCGGATTCCTTAGATCGGCGCTGGGGCCCCTTGGCGGCGCCTCCGGCGCCACCCCTAGCGCGCTCCGCGCACCAGGGAGGGGTGTGCAGCGCCGATCCGAGAAATCCGCGCGGACCTCCAAGTTTTTATGTTTATGCCATTGCTTGTTCCCCAAACCTTGGGAGTCTTGAGACGAGGGTCAATGCAAACGGGGGTCAGCCAAAAATGGCATCAAGCACGTCATGCTGTTTCCGGGGCGTGGCCGGCAGGAATGTTGGTGTTGGTCTTCAAGGGGCTACAAAACCCACCCTAACCACTAGAGAAGGGAGTGGATTAGTGGACGCATGTCCATCTCGAGCTAGTAGACATGGGGGTCAATGGGCCATGTTGGGCCGTGTTTGTCCCATTCTTGAGCAATCTTGGCCGTCTCCGAGCCCATCTCGGACCGCCTTGGAGGCCTTCTTGGGCCATATGTTGGCCGTCTTGGATGTCGTCTTGGACATGTGCGCAGTCCCTGGTGTGGTCAGTCGGCGATGGCGCAACGGGCCGAAGGACCGCTGGGAAGCTGTTGGAAAGGGCATCGATCTGGCAGAGACGGGGGTCAGTGCAAACGGGGGTCAGCCAGAGCGCCAGATCTTGCAGGATCCTGCAAAGCCAGGGTTACATTGATCTGGGCTAGCGCGCAGGATCTTGCAGGATCTTGCAAAGACAGACTGGCCCGGGTTTGCATTGACCTGGGTCAGTGGAAGCCCGATTCAATGCTCGCCGCGCATAAGGAGGGCAGCCGCATGTACCACGACCCAAGCCCTGCAGGGGCCGTCCTGGGACCTGGCGTGGTGTACGCACCCCCGGGGCGCATGCGCCTTCCTACTCGAAGGAGGCAAGAGTACCAATACCGCTACTCTTCCCCTGTGCTCGCCTCCGGGGGCCTCCTGGGAGGCCCCCGTTGCCACAGCTGGATTCGCCTAGAAACTGGTCAGAGCGCACCCTGGGAGAGATCTTGGGAGTAGCAGTGCTGGTATCTGGGGCTTTCCCCATATCCAGGGCACATGATGGTCTTGGCCAGGCATGGTGGTGGTGCGTGGGAGCCTTGTGTGTGTGTGTGCGTGTGTGTGTGTGTGTGTGTGTGTGTGTGTGTGTGTGTGTGTGTGTGTGTGTGTGTGTGTGTGTGTGTGTGTGTGTGTGTGTGTGTGTGTGTGTGTGTGTGTGTGTGTGTGCGTGTGCCTATCCGCCAGCGCAGTCCCGCTGCCTAGCCGCCGACGTGAAAGCGTGTGTGTGCCATCGCCCAGGTCGGGCGGGTGGCCAGCCTAAGCTGCAGCTCCTGTCGGACTTCTCAGTGGCCCTGTGGCCATGATACTTCCCGGTTGCCAGCCCAGCCATAGTATGGCTCCCGATCGTTCCCGATCGTGCCCATGATCGCTCATGATCGCTCCCGATCGTGCCCATAGTACGACTCTGGCCCATGATCGCTCCCGATCGTGCCCACAGAGAGTTGTCTCCTAAGACGGCGTCGTCGCAGTCGTTGTTGTCTGTCGGCGGCCTCTTCCTCCTGCAGTTGTCGCCGTCGTCGTCGTCGTCGTCGCCGTCGTCGTCGTCGTCGTCGTCGTCGTCGTCACCATACGCCCCCCTGTCATCGTGGGGGGAGCCACCGGAGACACGGGCCCCTTCCATCTGTGGGGTGTGGGAGCGACCCGAAGTCTTCCCCAAGTTGTCTGGTTGGGTCAAGGGGCTCGGCGTATCGACGGCCCAGATTCCCAACCAGTGGTATGCTGGAGCCTCCGTTGGCCACGTGGTCGATCACGCGACGTGGTGTGCGTGCACATTAGAGCCCACGGGCCCGCGGGCCCTCGGCCCTGCGCCACGTGCTCTCCGCAGCGTCTCCTGGGGTCATGGGTCTGCGCCCGCCTGCAGCTGCGAGATCGGCCGATCGCTGGGCAGTACCCTCCCGGGGACAGGGTCCCGAGAGCCCTGGGGCCCCCAGATTGCTGGATCGACTACGCGCACTCTGAGTTTCTTACCAAACGTCGGGGGGGCGTCACCCCCGCCGACAGCCCCACATCGACCCCCGTCGCGGGCAGCCACCGCGCGCCGAAGGCGCTCCGACCCCCGTCGCGGCGCGACGAGGAGGCAAGGCTGACCCCCGTCGGGGGGTACCCCTCACGCTGATTAAGAAACCCAGAGTAAGAGTGACCTTTCCCCGGAGTGACCTTGGTGCGGGCCCCATGGCGTCCCCGATCGCTGATCGCGAAGCGGTGTAGCAGCGGCTTGCGCGCCCGGGTTTGGCCACCCCGCGTACCCAGTCAGGTCGCGCACCGACGGTCACTCGTGCCCCGGTCTTTCTTACGTGTAGCCTAGTCGAGCCACGACGTCGGAGGCCTGCTGGGGGCAATTCGATAGGGGGGATAGGCACGCAGGTCCACCCGCACGGTGGTACGTGGGCAACCTTCCCATGGGTACTCCTGCATCCTTGCCTCCTCGGTCCATCCTTGGCCGCTTTGCGCTCGAAAAGCTTCGAAAGGGCCCTTCCAAGGCCCGTGCCTCCTCACCGTGCGTCCTTGTGCTACGAGCCCGCGACAACATGCTGGCCGAAGGCGCACACCGGCCAGGCGCCCGCCTCTGCCGTCTCCGCCTCCGCGGGGGCCACCACAGGGGGGGCAGGCACAACAGGGGCGGGGACGCATCGATCCCCGCTCGCCCCTGGATCGCCGAGGGGGGGGCCCGATGGCCCCCACCTGCCCCGCAGCGTGCGGGTTCGTCGTCGGGGCCTCTCGCCGATCCCGCGGCGCGGCGTCGCCGCTTCCAGGTCGATGCGTCCTCCTCCTCCTCCTCCTCCTCCTCCTCCTCTCTCTCCTCCTCCTCCTCCTCCTCCTCCTCCTCCTCCTCCTCCTCCTCCTCCTCCTCCTCCTCCTCCTCCTCCTCCTCCTCCTCCTCCTCCTCCCCCAGTGCCAGTCCCCTCCCCCTCGGGCGCCGCCGGGCTCGCAGCCTGGCTCCAGCCTCCAGGGGCCGCCCCGCCGTGCCCCCCTCCTCGGAGGGGGCTGCCGGCGACGGCCCTCGCGAGCCCATCGCCCTCGCCAGACTCCCCATGGCGCACCAGCGCACGAAGGCGTTCGGCCCCGAGCGGGGTGTACGTCTTGAGCCGCAGGCTGGAGGACGCGGCCCGCCGGCGCCTCGGCGACCTGCCGGCGCCACGGAGGCCGCGGCGCGCGCGGCCTTGGCCCACGGGTCCCTGCCGGCCCCGAGGCATCCGCTCGATCCGGCAGGCGGCCCCGCGCAGGGCCGACGTTCGAGGGCTGCAGCCGATGCCGTCGCGCGCCACAAGGTTTGCCTCGAAGGCACCACTGCTGGGAGCGCACCGGGGGCGCGGCCGAGCGCCCAGCGCGAAGGCGCCACTGGCAGCTGCGCCGCCACGAGGGGCCAGGGCACGGCCCAGACCCACTGCTGGAGTCCCGCGGGCCAGGTGGCCCAGGCGTCGTGCCGTCGCGATGGTCGACGATGCTACTTCCCCGCCCTCGCCCCTACATGACTCCGAGCAGCACCTCTGCCCGGCAATCTGCTGCAGGCTTTTGGACTGCCAGTCCGCAGCTCCGAGTCTATATACGAAGACACAGCGCGGGGCATGCGAACCCCACACTCGCGTGAGCTGCGCCCAGCGCTGTCCGTAAGATCACGGATGAGCTCTCGAGTGCAGTCGGCGAGCCCACTATCCTCCCTTGCCGACCGACGCCTTCTAGTCAGATGGCGGCGGTGTATCTTGGATGGGTTGGGAACGTGAGCGGGGGTTGGGCAATTCTGGGTCCCCCTTTCTCGGTTCGACTCAAATAGGATGGCCTGTCGTCGTTTAGCTCAGCGCCGGCGAGTATAGACGCTCATCTGAAATGAAAAGGGCCCTGCGTGCATCTCTTATTGCCGCCCTGCCTCCTCCTCCTTTTCCGGCCTCCTCCTCCTCTGCCTCCTCCTCCTCCTGCTCCTCCTCTGCCCTGCCTCCTCCTCCACCTGCTTCTCCTCCTGCTGCTGCTCCTCCTCCTCCTCCTCCTCCTCCTCCTCCTCCTCCTCCTCCTCCTCCTCCTCCTCCTCCTCCTCCTCCTCTCTTCCTGTTCGCACCAAGGGCTTCCGGGGGCCTCCGACGTTCGCGTCGTGAACAGGTCACGATGGGGGGGGGGAGCCGCCGAGGGACCTCCGATCGGAGGCCTCCGCGGGCTTCCGAGCGGGGGCCTCCGGAAGCGGCACGAGCGCACCGAGGGCTTCCGCGAGGGCCTCCGACGTTCGCGCCGTGAGCCCAGACGTGGTCGCGTCGTGGAAAAACAGAAATCAGGACGGGAGGCTTTGGGCCATTTTCGGCCCCAGGGGGCCCTCGCTTGGCCCCGGGACCGTCAAAAAAGCGACTCCGGATGAAAAACCGGTCTTGGGGAAGGGGTCCGGACTTCTGGGGATCGCGTCATGACAAAAATCATGACGTCGGGGGTTCCGGAGCAGGTCACGATGGGGCGGGGGGCGGGGGCGCGTTCGGCCTCGGGGGGCCGTCGCCGGGGTTCAGAGAACTGCAGAGAACAGCTCGTGATGGGACAAGGCCCCGGGCACGATGGGCGGTGGCGCGTTCGGCCTCGGGGGCCGTCGCCGGGGTTCTGGGAACTTCAGAAAGCAGCCCGCGATGAGAAGCAGGCCCCAGGCAACGGGTCGGGAGTTCTGGGGGGGGGCCGCATGGAAGAAGACAACCCCGGATGTCTGCGGGAGTGGGAGGGGGGGTCGGGAGTTTGGCGGGCTGGCCGAGGTGGCCAGAGGAGGGGGAGGAGGGAGGAGGGGGAGGGGGGGGAGGAGGAGGAGGAGAGGAGGAGGAGGAGGAGGAGGAGGAGGAGAAGGAAGAGGAGAGGGAGGGAGGAGGAGGAGGAGGAGGAGGAGAGGAGGAGGAGGAGGAGGAGGAGGAGGAGGAGGAGGAGGAGGAGGAGGAGGAGGGAGGAGGAGGAGGGGGAGGAGGGGGAGAGGGGAGGGGGAGGGGGGGAGGGGGAGGGGGAGGGGAGGGGGAGGGGGAGGGGGAGGGGGAGGGGGAGGGGGAGGGGGAGGGGGAGGGGGAGGGGGAGGGGAGGGGAGGGGGAGGGGGAGGAGGAGGAGGAGGAGGAGGAGGAGGAGGAGGAGGAGGAGGAGGAGGAGGAGGAGGAGGAGGAGGAGGAGGAGGAGGAGGAGGAGGAGGAGGAGGAGGAGGAGGAGAGGAGGAGGAGGAGGAGGAGGAGGAGGAGGAGGAGGAGGCGGAGGAGGAGGAGGAGGAGGAGGAGAAGGCGCCCCTCTCGTCGCCACTGCTCGGCGCGGCCCGGGAGATGTGTCACATGTTCGACCTCTTGGGGGGCGTCGGGGCCCACCCAGCCAGCGCAGCCCCCCGGCCGCGTGCCACAGCGGAGGCGGAGATTGGGCGGGGCCTCCAAACGGTGCGTTGACCTCACTGCGGGCAAGATTCATGTCCATATCCAGTGCCTCTTGGACTTTTATGTAAGCGGCGCCACAAGGCCGAGGTGCACTGGATATGGATAAAAATCGAGCCTCTAGGGGGCAAGTTTATCCAGATCCAGTGCGCCTCGGGTTTCTTGGGAAGGGAGCCCGAAACTCCAGACTGCAGTGGATATGGACAGAAGTATTGCCCGCACTCACCGCGTCGTGCGGTGAGTGCGCGGGGACTCGGGGGCCGCGCGCTGTTTTGGAGTTGGGGCCGTTTCCCGACGGCGTCTCGGGCGACTGGGGACTCTGGGGTCCTCGAGCGGTGCGGTGGCCGACCGCGCGGTGAGATGTATTATTGGGGGTTCTAGGTCGCCGCGCAGTCTGTCACCGCAGCGTTTAGGACGCCCAAATTGGATGGGGGAGGAGGGCCGAAGAAACGCAAAGCTGGAGTTTGGCGCGCGGACTCGCGACCAACACCCGCTGCCACACCGAATCGACGCGCGCTCCCTCGCCGACTCTGGGCGGCACCGGCGCTTCTGTTTCGGGGAGGAGCTTCCCCCGATCCGTGGGCCTGGCGCCCACGCGCGAGGTCCACGAATCCATGCTGCATGTCTGCGCGTGCCCGAGTGAGGGGGGCAGAGGAGAGGGCCGCCCGGACTCTGAGGGCTTGGTACCATGTGCCCACGGGGGACCTCGTCGACGCTGCGCCGTACGAGGAGCCAGCCAACGGCCTGCCGGTTGGAAGAGCAGGGGTGGTGCGAGGACGCCTCCAATCTGGCCCTCCCCTTCCCCCCTTCCCCTTCCCCCCCTCCCCGTCTGGGTGGCGACGCTTCGAGCACCGCCCAGGAGGCTGTTCCTTTGAGAGGCTCTAGCGGGGCCTGTCTGGCCCGTCTTGTGGTTGTCTTGGGCTCCCTAGGGCCCGTCCTGGGGCCATCTTAGGGCCCACTCGGTGCCGTATCAGGGAGCATGTCGGGTCTCTCTTGGGAACATTTTGGAGTCTGTTTGGGCCATCTCGGTGCCCTCGTCGGCTGTCCTTGGGGCCCTCTTTGTGATCCTCTCTCTCTATCGTCCTTTTCTCTTGTTTTGTGCTGTTCCTTTTTTGTGTGTGTGTGTGTGTGTCTCTCTCTCTCTCTATCCCTGTCTCCCTCTCCCCCTCTATCTCTCTCTCTCTCTCTCTCTCTCTCTCTCTCTTTATATCTTGTTATATCCATCTCTCTCTCTCTCTCCTTCACTCACTCACTCACTCACTCACACTATCTTTCTCTCTCTCTCTCTCTCGTTCTCTTTCTCTCTCTCTCTATATATATGTATGTGTATCCCTCTCCCTCTCGATTTCCGAATAATGATGGACACGTTTGGTAGTGTGTCTGTGTATACAAATATGTATGAGTGAGGGAGTCGAGCGGTGTTACTTTGTCCTTGAGTGCGTGCCTGAAGTTGGCTTTTTCGGTGAGGGGTAGTGTTGTTGGTTGTTTGTTCATCATGTGTCGTCGCAGATCTCGCCCGCGACCCGCCCGCGTCCAGCCCTCGAATCACCAGCGACCCACAATCGACCAACCCGCGATCCAACCGCGACCTACCCGCGACCAACCCAGATTGCTGTGACGAAAATTTGGCGTCTGCGGTGGGATCGTGGCGAAATGTGTTAAATATCGGCGCTCGCGGCGGGCTTCTTCAAAGCCTCACAGACTGGCGACGACCCCGCCTCATCCTGACTGTTGCCAGCAACTGCGGGGGCTATGGGTACTATTTTCTCTCTGCCTTTCTTCCTGTGTTGTTTTCACTTTCCTCTGCCCCTAACTTTCTATGCCTCCGCGCCACCCTCCCTCTTTCCATTCTCACTGTCCTCCCCTTCCACCGCACCTCATCCTCATCCTGTTCCCTCCCACATTCCCCTCATGATTCTCCTGCTGTTCCCTCTGCCACCCCTCCCTCCTTTGCTCCCTCTCCATGGGAGTTTCCTCGCGTCCCCCTTTCCGTACCGTTCGTCATTTTCTCCCTTCGCCCACTCCCCCCCCCCTGCCCGCATCATATCCCCCATTCAGCGTCCATGGGCTCGAACGGTAACATTTAGCGCCCATGGGCTCGAACGGTAGTCCTTCCTTTCTTACTCATGCTTCGCTTGTGACCTCACTGCTTTGCTTCCGCGGCCACTTACACATTGGCCAGGTAGCGTGCTTGCCTTAGCCACGCTACTGACATGCTATTCGTTCCGCTGGGTGAAAACATTCCGTCTGTTTTAATCCACTTTTGCATTCATTGTTCTAGTTGGTGGTGGAGTTTCTGTTCCAATACCACGGCCGCGCCTCGATGGCCATGGCTTCAGGTTTCCGCCGCTCTCAATCATCCCGCTGTTCACGCCACTCTGCATCATCCCGTTTCTTTTTCGCCTTCGTCGCGTTCGTGCCCTTGCTCCCTATCGCCATGGCAGAACTGGCGACGGAGAAGGCGCACGTCTGCCCCAACGAGACTTCCAACGAGACCTACAAGGACCCCGGCCGCGCGCCGAAGCTCTCGGCAATCCCTCACGGGCTTGCGTTGGCTGCGTCAGCGCTCCTCGCGGACCTTAGGCTGTCAATGCGAAAGCTTGCAGGTGTAGCCGTACATGTCAGGCAGTTGTTCGACACAACGTTCACATCTACGGTGTCAGACGAGGGATGAGTGCCCCGAGGCCCTGGTGACTGCGTCACGACAGCCCTGAGAGGATCAGGCGGAGAACGGCGGGGGTGCAAGGTGGGGGGGGGGTCTGGCGACTTGGTCGCCCGTTCTCAGATGGGCAGCGAATCAGATCCGGGAGGACACTCCGATCTTTTGGTGCACGACAGTTCATTTGGCCCACACATTCCCATCAGCCTGGTAGGACTGGGTCGCGATACTCATTCTTCGTGACGATCGTTCAGTTGGCGGTGTTCAGCAAAGTGACAACGCGACATACGAGGAGCATTCCCTTGAGTTCGTGCGTGCGCGAATGACGAGATGCCCCGAGTACCGAAAGCACGCACGACGGGAGCATGCGCCAAATTCGCAGAGGAGCAGGAGGAACACATTGGGGGAGAGTATCCACGGCGGCTCCGAGGGCAGCGCCGCTTGCGGATCCTCGGCCTCCAGCGCCCCCACGATACATGGAGGGAGACGCGTTCCGGATGGAAGGCAATTTGAGTGAGTGGGGCGGCCACTCCTGTAGAGCTGGCTCGAGGCAAGGTGGCGGCCACGTACTGCCGCGCCGAGATGGCATGCGGACTGCAAGACGCCCCGGCCTTCATCGGTGCTATTTTCGACGACATGATCACCAGGGTGGCGCGAGCAGGCTGGGACTGGGGCCGCGTGGAGGACCAGCTGGAGCACATCGCGCCGGGCGCCACGGCCAGGACCTTCGGCCGCTGAGAGGACGGAAGGGCGCGCAGATCACGGAGCAGACCAGACAGCGCCCCGACATCCTCGAAGTTCTGCGCCATCTGTCCTGCAGATGCGCTCAGCTGCCAGGCGTTCGCGCCGTGCGATAAATACGAGGCCAGAAATATGTGGGCAACTGACTGGCCTGCGCCCGCAGCTCGGTTATCTGGCGGCCCCCTCAGTGCCCGATCGACGCCCGGCAGATCCACGCTAGCGGCATCAAGGGCGACGCCCATCAGCGCATTGGCTCGCAGAGGAAAGAAGCTCGCAACATTCAGTTTGTCTTGGGCGACGAGCCACTACTGGTAGCAGACGCCTGACAGGACCTAGACGGATCGCGCGATGGCTGCGTCATCGACGCGCCAGAGCACGCCGCCCGCACCGCCGAGGTCGTTTCGCCATCAGCCATGAAGGCTATTCGTGACGGGACCGACGGCGACATCTCCGGCCGCATCCAACAGGCGACGTTGGCCGCTTGGCGCGAAGTCGAGGGGGTGGAGTACCTGGCCCAGTTGCTCGATGGGCCGGGGGGCGCCGACAGCCGACAGAAGATCTGCACTTCTGTCGAGCGCGCCGCGCCCAGCGTTGGCCGCCCGCAGGCCCCGCGAGTGGCCCTGGCGCCGCTAGGGCTTGCGCCGGCGTCGGAGCATCTATGGAAGCGCCGCAACTACCTGCGCGGTGCCTCCCCGGACAACTACGCCACGCTAGAGGGGGGTGCGAAGGGGGAAGGCATGCGGAGCTGCATCTTGATCCAGCGCGCGGGCCACTCGAGCGCCAGCGGGGAGGCGCGGGGCAACTGCGTCGCCGGCGCTCCCCGGGCAGCCGCGCCCAACATCCTTGCCGCCGTCAAGACGCGCCCGTTTCGAGAAGCGACCGCCCAAGAGCGCCAGGGCCGCAACGTGCTCCGGGCGCTTCTTCTGGCGGAAGCGCCGGCAGGGATCAAACGGGAAGAACGCCGGGATCGCCCGGCGCCGCGCGGCGCCGAGGATATTCCGCGACGCGGGCGCCGGGGCCCTGGAGGCGCTCGCTGGGGAAGAAGAGCGGGCGCCACAGCGCCCGCTGCCCTCGGCGACGGCGCGCCGCCCAGACCGGGCGCGCGTCGCCGCGGACGTCGAGGAGGCATTCCTGCAAGGCGCGACCTGCGCCGAGACGCAGGAGGCAGGTGGGCAGAGTCGTGCAGAATTTCACCCTGCCACCCAGCAGCGCACCCATCTTGCAGGTGCCAGCTGGCTAATTACGAGAGCCGCGGCGAGCCGACGTGGAGCTCGCACCGCGTCGAGCCCGGCACGGGCTGCAAAGATGCGCCCCGAGCCTTTTCCACGAAGCTCGCCCGGGCCACCTGTTCGCCGGGGCGCAGCGCCAAACCCGCCAGGCGGGGCCTGGAGCTCGAGCGCTCGAGGTCAAGCGCGAGACGCCTGGTGCCAGTGGCACCGGCGTCTCGGAGCTAGTGGCCATGATGCCCAAGCACGTCGATGATCTGAATGTCGCAGGACACAGGAAGCATTCCGACCCTTCGATCGCCAGCTGCGGAGCACACCAGTACCGCTGCGCCGATGGCATTGCCAGGGCGAGCGCAGACGCTCTGATACGATCAGACACGCCGTCCTGGCCGAGGCCGACGCTATGGCAGGCCTCTTTGCCTCCTCCCGGGAGCAGCGGCCTGCGCCCTGATCGCCCAGCACCGCGTCGCAGCCCGCGCCGTTCCCCTGGAGAGCCAAGAACAAGCAGCTGAAACGACGCGCGATGCAGCCGAATTCAGCTGCGCTGGCCACGCAAGAGATCAAGGCGCGCATCGCATTTCCAGCCATGGATCGCGCCAATCGACTCAGCGCACACAGCGACGGATTCGTCAAGAAGGAGGAGGAGGAGACAGAGCTTCGGCACAAGAGGGGCAGATACATGCGTCTCGGCAAATTCCGCCGCACCAGCAAGAAGGCGTGCCACGTGCTGGGCGCAGTGAGCCGGTCGCGCGCGCAGATCCTCGTCTGGCTCAGAGCTGTTCGCAGCACGCGGCGCAGCCGACGGACGCGGGCGCGCCTCCTCGCGCCACTCTGCTTGAGATGGCGCACGGCGCCGCCTCTGCCGAGGAGATCATGGGGCTGGCGGGGGCATGGGGGGTCAAGCGATCTCTTCCGATCTCGTCGTCGACGGCGTGTCCGTTTTCGGCGCCCTGCTCGCGGGCTCGGTTCGGCCGCGCTCCGAGGGCGGCGCGGCAGGCCGCCCGCGGCAGTTAGCCGACCAGCTGCGCACCAAACAAATCGATGACTTGCTCTGGCGCGACACTTGGGACACGCGGGCTGACCCCGTGACCGAGGGCGACGTGGCCAGGTTTTCATCCTCAGCGCGATGGGCGGCCGGGCCAGCCACGACCATGACGCGGTCAAGGTCAGCGGCGAAAAGAAGCAGCACAAGAAGGCCGCCCCAACTGCCAGCGCAGCTCTCGCACGCCAAGTGAAGAGGCAACTCGCGTGACTGCGGCACAAGGCCGACCAACGTAACCCCGCTCATCGGTGCACGAGTCGACCTGCCGAGCGGCCGCGATGTCGCCAAGCTTCGCGGGCAACCATGGCTAGGGACTATGTGAAAGTTTAGCATTCCCTTGAGTGCCGTTCCAGTTGGCTGCGTCAATTAAGCAGCGGCAGTTCTGCTTGCGTTCCATCAGTTGTCGAAGGGGCGCGGTCAGCAGAGCGCCTACTGCAGGCAAGCTTAGAAGGGTGTGGTCAGCAACGCAGCCCTAACAGAAGCCAAGAATCTCGCTTCGTAGTTTCTGGTAGACCAACGAGGCACAAAGGACGCGCTTGAGCACCATAATCCAACGGTCGTCTTACTTTTCTCTCCCATGCCTTGTTTGTGCCCTCCTCGCTGCCTCGCTTCAGCGGCCATTTACAGCCTGGCCAGGTAGCGCGCCCGCCTGACCCAAGCTATTGACTTGCTCATCGTCCCGCTGAGTGAGCACAGTTCGTTTTCTTCGTCCTCGTTTCTACGTGCATTTCTCCCGCCATCGCGCTAGGCAGGCGCAGCTGCCCCGAGAAATGTAAGGGGTCAATGAGACAAGCTGTTTGGTGATCCGCGTCAGTCTGGGCCAAATTCTTCGGTCCTCTCTCCAGCTGCCAGGAAGTCCAACCATGAAGGCCTCGGCACCGTCTCACTGATTCTCCCTCCCTTCCCTTGCCCTCCTCTCTGTCTCCTCTCCTCCGCTTGTGGTCGGAACCATCAGAGCCGAGTCGACACCGGCAGCGCTCCGGCAACAACTGATGGTCAGGAACTGGCTAGCGAAGACAACTCTCTCCAGATCGAACCCATGAATGGAAGTTCAAAAATGTTGTTTCCCTCTTTCATCCGACCCTCCGTTCCACTTTGACTAGTTTGACCCCTTTCCTCGTCCATTCCGCAATTGTTCCATGCTTCCGTTGGTTCGTCCACGGTTTTTGGCCGCCCTTCTGTGCCCATCCTTCCCGCCCATCATCCGCCACCCTTCAATTACAACTCTACTGTTCATTTGCACTATCCTCCCTCCTCTTGTCATTTCTCGTATCTCCATTTCCCACCTCCCTCCTGTTCTGCCCATCCGTCTCCCTCCCCCGCATCTATCTTCGACGACGGCGAGGGAGAGAGAGAGAAAGAGAGAGAGGAACCCCGCCCGAATGAAAGGAAACAAGTTGAGCGCCCGCCCCCCCAATCATGCACCCTCCTCCCCCCCCCCACGCCGACGACGACGACGAACGTGACGTCGGCGGCGGCTTCGGTTGCGGGCAACAGGTATATCCACATCCAGTGCGTCTTGGAGCCTTGGGCTGTCTTCCCCAGAAACCGGAGGCGCACTGGATATGGATAGAAATCTTGCCCCAGGTTTCATTTTTATCCATATCCAGTGCGCCTCGGCCTTGCGGCACCCCTATTGAAAAAGTCCACGACGCTCTGGATATGGATATAAGTATTGCCCGCGTCGGTATCGGCGTCGTCGTCCTCCTCGCCGTCGGCGGCGGTTTCGGCGCCCGTCGTCCCCGCGGGCGGCGCCGTCCGTCCCCACAGGAGCTGCCGAGCTCCCTCTGGCGCGAGGCGGTGGTGTCGAGGCACGGCGAGGTGGACGCCGTGCTGCTGTGGAACGGGACGGTCGCCCCGGGGGAGGGGGGGGCCTCTGGAGGGTTCCCCCGAAGGGCTTAGGCGACCCGTCCTCCTCATTTTCCTCCTCCTCCTCCTCCTCCTCCTCCTCCTCCTCCTCCTCCTCCTCGCACGCACGCACACTAAAGGCATGAAAGATTCGTTGCCTATCCCAGAAGCCAAAAATGGGGACGGGAGAAGAGGAGGAAGGGAAGGAAGAGATTAGTCAGCGTTGGGCCGGCTCCTGTTGAACAGAGCACAGTCGGCACCACGCTCGACTAGGTGGTAGGGGTCAAGGGGGACCACAAAGGGGGCTAAGTCAGAGTCCACATCTTCCTCTTCCCCCCGCCCAGACCGCTGAGACAACCTCGATTTGGCAGCCTCGAAGATGGTCCTCCCGAGGCACTTGCACAGACCTGGAGGATATTCTTTGGCCGCTGTTGTCGCCCACGATCCGTCTGTATGTCGGCCCTCGAGTGTGTCGTGCTCGTGCCGGCCGTCACAGCGGCCTCCTCCATATTCCTGAAGCATCCCGTACATCGCTTCCCCATGGATCGTGAGAAGGGTGGTGGGTTTCATATAGGTGGCCCCGAACATACACTGATGAATATGATAGGATCGAACGTTCGGCTTGCCCTCAAAAATGCTGAGTTGAGGGAGTAGCCATGACGACGGGGCATCATGTCTGCCCTGGAGTCTGCTGGGGTGCTCCATGATGGCCGTCACTTCAAACTTGTAGCACACGTGGAGGAGAAAGATGGTGGTCCTCAACAGGTCGTTGCCAATCCTAAGTTGGTTCATCTCTTTCGGCCTGAGAGCTTTAATACCCCAGGGGATTTCTTTTGAACGAATGGGGCGGGGAGGGTTCCGCATCCCAGGAGCAGCACGAAAGCGGGCGACCGACCACGTCTCACAAGGCGGTCCCGCCACCAGGGCCACGACCTTTCCCGACCGAATGAGGTTGGCCCACATCTGGACCACCTCCTTGTTGGCCATGTCTCCTCTCACGGGGTGATGAATTATGTCAACCGATAGCGTTACGAGGCTGAGTCCGGCCGTGGCGGACAAGGAGTCGAGGACATCCTGCAGGTCCCCCTCACGCCTTGGGCCCGAAAAAAGGTGCAACGCATACTTGATTTTGTCCCCCATGGTCCTAGGAATCCTCTCTTGGCTGCACAAAAGAGCAGGATCAAAGGCATGGGGGTCCCCATTGAGCGCAACAGCACGCTGACCCACCTTCGACGGGGGGTGGGGGCAAGCCACAAGGGGGGGAGGGGTGGGCCGTAAACTTTAATGGAGGGCACGTGGGCATAGTGATCGGGGAGATGGGCCGCTCTATTGGTCCTTTGTCTGGCCAAGTCCTGTTCCCTCCACTGCTGGAGGACCTCTGGGCTGTCCCTTCCTGGCCAAGCTCTCCACTGCTCCTTGCACCGTGGCACCTGATGTAAGTGCTTGTGCAATCTGCCCACATCGTGAAACTGAGTCATGCACGCCTGGCATATGGTGCCCGAAACCCACGCTTTAAGAGCTGCGTCCTGCTCGTGGCAACGACCCCTATGGGCAGCCAGAACTCGTGCTTTGCGGGCATGAAATCCACAGTCGTAACATACATACCACCCGAGGTCAGGAGGCGGGGGAGGGGGCAACACTTCAAGAGGGGACCCCCTGTTAAGCTCAGCCAAAGATGCGTCCAGCATCACAACCTCGTGCAGCTGTTCATTGTGAAACCTGGCTCGAGCGGCCCCCAAGGTGACCATATCCCTGAACTGGTTTGGGGCGGTCCTAGCCATTTGGATCCAGTCTTGGTATCTTCCTTGACCTGGGACCTCCGACTTCAAGGCGTGCTGTGTGAGCCAGCCGAAGTCGGCCCTCAGCATCTCAGGCCACTGAGCCTTGACCCCCACCAAGTGGTCGAGCGCGACCCGTAGCATAGGTGGGGCATGCCGAAGGAGACGGGGGAGGTAACGAAGTCGAGCAATGGTGAGGGTCTCCTGCAGAGTGCTGCGCCTAGCTAGATGGTACACATGCGCGGCCGATATATGTTCCTGGTTGTTATTCCCTAGGGGGAGGCCTAAACACGCTCGGTAAATCTTAGTGTGATGGGCCGACAATCTTTGAACCAGTTTTTCAGACATGTGTCCCCACGTGGAGGCGTCAAAAAGCAACCTGGAAGCCAAAAAGGCCTCGCCGACCTGGACCGTGAAAGCCCTCGGGAGATTGGCTCGTCTAGCAAGCCTGGCAATAACCCGCACGTCCTTATTCATGCTGCCAGCCCTGTTGGCCACCTCGGCCGTGAAGGCCCCCGTGTCCATGATTATCCCACCGAGGACCTTGTGGGTTCTTTTGACGGGGGCTTCGATGCCTGAGGACGGAGCAACAATAACCAACCTCGACCTGTTGAAGAATTCAACCTTGGGCGCCCGCGAACATTTTCCCGCATAGCGCAAGAGAATAACCGTCTTGCTGGTATTCACTTGCAGCCCAAAGGCCGAGCAATCACGCACAACAACATCCAATGCAGACTCCGCAGCACCCTCAAGGTCGGCTGGGTCCTTCGCTCCTCCCGACACTGTGAGATCGTCCACGAAAGAAACCGAGGCATGATGATTGCTCTGATCGCTGTCACTGCTGAAGATGAGCTCATCCTCGCTCAAAGGCGGGGGTGCCCAGCCAAGCTGAGCGTCGCGCATGGCACATTCAACATTGGCAACTATCTGCCCAAAATTCAAATTGAAACCGTCTGTCGCCATCACAGTGCCAGGCCGTGTGCCAAAAGCTGGTTTGACGTACTTGCTCGCTCCCCTGACCTGCCAAAAACCCCCCTGCTGCGTTTCACGAATGAGCTGTAAGAGGTGAGCATCATCAACCTGTCCATCTAGAATCGGCTTTTTCTGAAGGTTTTCTAGAACAGTGCTGAGCAGAGCTCTGGGCATCTCCCTTTGCTCTAGTGCCCTCTGCAGGTCAGCCTGGTCGTGCGGCAAGGACACAACAAATTGTCGTATCACTCCGTAGAAGGCAGCAACCAGATCAACGCATATGATGAAAGCTGATCGTCCTTGCACCACCTGTGCTTCAAAAATGGACCTCACAGTGTGCGTGGCAAAGTCAGTGGATCGATGTGGCAGTCCGCCACACTGAGAGGATGCTAGACACTTATAAATGTACTCCATGGCCCTGCTCCTGATAAATGTGTGATGGACCTTGGACAAGGTATTGGACAGATGAATGTTGCGCTGCGACGTTGCAAGATGCTGAGCTCCTTTGCCTTTGTAGAAAGCAGCAACAAAGCCTGATTTGAAATCGCATGGTTCTCTGCAAGCTACCGCCGTCTTGACCAATATGGGGTGCCACAAGCGTGCAATCTCCTGAGGGGCAGCAGCCGCGACATCTTTGGTGATGGCGTCTGGGCCGGCCGCTTTTCCTTTCTTGCCTCGACGGAGCAAATGCACCAGCTCATACCTGTCAACAACGTTTTGAATGTTGAGCAGAGGGGGCGGCGGAATGTGCTGAGCATTGTATTCCTCCCGAATTTGATCAATCTCCATCTGTCTCCCTCCTTCAAGCGATGCAAAAAACTTCTGAAGGTCATCGGCGTCCTCCTGGGCCGTGGTGAGAAGGTTTCCCTGGGGGTCAGTGCGCAGGGGGAAAGCAGGGGCCTTCTTAGGGGCCTTCCCGTTGCAAAGCAAAACGGTGTTGAGGTGTTGCCACGCTGAACGGGGGAGCTTAGCATCTAGAGACATGGTAACATCCTTTGCCTGATCTAAAACATACCTGTCAAAATCCTGCTTGGCACATGTGGAGATGACCTCGCACGTCTGGGAGATGAAGCTACTGAGATGCAGCAGCCATTCCTCGGCAGGGATGCGTTTCCATGAAAAATCCGTGGCAGCCTGGGCCAGTTGCCAAAACGTCGGACTCCAAATATGCCCCCCTCCCGAGCCAGCAGTGTCCCAGAGGTCCCCTTTCCGAAGTCTCTGAGCAAGGGCGAAGGCCTTGGCAATCCATTTGTTGCTCAAACCATTGAGCTTGCTATATTGCAATATTTTTCGAACCGCCCGACGTATGGTTACGAGGTCAAGGGTGGACTGAGTGAGGTACGGCTTTCTCGCTCGTCTGCCAGATCTAGTGATCGTGCCTCGGGCCGCATCCCGTATGGCTTCATTAACTTGTTGAAGCTGGTCGTTCATATCAACCCCCCATCCCGCAAGCTGCACCTCGCCAAGTTTCTGCCGAAATCGTCCCACGCATTCTGGGTCCTCGAGTTTGCTTGGGTCGATGGGGATCGCCAGCTTTGACTTGAGAGTCTCCCGAGCTGGCGACAGATCTAATTGAACAGTGATCGGTACATGGTCTTGATGCTTGCGTACAGCATCAAAGCTATGTACTACTTCGAGCGAGTGACTGCACTGCAACAGCTCACGCGAGGTGACTATGTAGTCAAGTTGGTGCCCAACTCCTGTCCTGCTGGTCCATGTGCCAGCATGTCTGTTTGGCAACAATGTATTGACGGCATGCAACGTGGGGGTGGCTTCGACCAGCCACTTATGAAAGCGCTCCCCGTTGTCGTCCTCTTCCTGGATGAGTCCTGCTGTTCCTATGGCCTCGCTCGTCACAGAGCCTGTGCGTGCGTTGGCATCAATGAAACAAATCGTGGGTCCATGCGCCTGAGTGATTTTTCCCAGCTGCTCCCAGAAAGCTTCTTTTTGGCACGGCTTGGCCTTCGAGTGGGGAGCGTGGGCAACCAAAATCACTCTCGAAAAAAAGGGGGCCTTCACTCTAATCATTAGCGCCCGCTCACTGCTATACAGGACTCGGAAATGGTCCTTCCTAAAGAAGTACTCAGTGTTTTTGACCTTGGCGTAAGGATGGGCAACACTGGCCCACAATTCAACCCCCAGATTATACTCCAGATGTCCACTCGAAATGACTAAATACTTTTCATCCCCTGTAACATACATCCTCTGAGGGTTTCTGGCTTCTTGAATGCCTATGAGAATCATCTTATCATTGTGGAACTGCTGCCTCATCATGTCCAACCTGGCGCGCCGAAGTGGTCCTTTGGCGCCTTTCCTATCAGCATCTCTGAAACTTTGAACATTGAACTGGCACAATTTCATTCTCACCTCAGCCTGCTGATTTTTCTTAACAACAAAGTCAACACAGTGAGCCTTTGAGGCTCTAGGCGTGAGCGGCTGAGAGACAAACTTCCCATCAACAAGGGGGGGGTAAGCGTGGCGATCATCAGGCGCAAGCCGCAACCATTCCCAAAACTTCTGTGGGCCTTCCTTGAGGCCTTCAACCCAGACATCAGGGAGCAAGGTGTCCTGGATGGTCCTTTGGGCAGAGGCCTTCGCTATATTGTCGGCAAGAGTGTTCCATGGGTCCAGGTTATGGCTTTTGACATGTTCGTTTGAAGCCTGACGCTGCCTTGTGATCATGTCCCAGAGCACGGTGGCCGTCTTTGCTAGGGCCTGGTCTCGCTTGGGGATGGCGTCCATATTTATGCTGTCCAGCGAGCACTTGGAGTCGGACATGAGACGAACTTCGACCGAGTCGGGAAGGTAAAGTGCCCAGATTAATCCCCATGTGATAGCTAGTAGCTCCATGGTGGTGCTCGTGACGTACTGAATGTCCAAGTTAAAGCTGCTAGAGTCATCGAAGGTGTGACGAAGCGATCCCCCGAAGAACTGACCCTGCCCATCAACTCCTATGATAACTACTGCCCAACCAGCCAAGCCTCGTGCCATGAAATGCGACCCATCCGTGTACAGGCACACGTGCTGAAGGCTGTTAAGGTCAGGCCTCCTCTGGGTACTGTTGTCAAGGGCATATCTAGCTGGTGCTTCTAGGTCTTCAGGAACTAGATGATCTTGCTCAGGAGGAGGAGTAATATCTATCAGATCCACCCAAGATGTCGCATTGCCCACTCCTATCCTGATATATTCAGTAATAGAGGTCCCAGCACTAGTCTCAGCTGTCTGGGGGGGGGGGGGTCTGTGGCTGTACTCTGGATACCCCCTCGGTGGCCTCGGTCGGGGTGGGGTCGAAGGACGAGGGTCCCTGGCTTCCGAATTTTGTGTCATCTTGTGGTGACCCTTCAGTCTGTTGCCGAGGGCACTTCTTCTTTAAAGCCGAGGGCAATGGAGTGCATTTTAAATATTCTAGCGCCCTCTCTCGTCCTTGCTGTGTGAAATCACAGCTGTCCACTGAGCGCTGGCACGTGTGCTCGCTGAATTTTACCCGCCTCTCAGGGCGGTTCGCAGCTGCAAAGAAAGGAGAGGGGCCCTCCGAAGGCCCGAGGGGAGGCGAGGAGGCAGCGGAGCAGGGAGGGTGACGATTCGGCCCCCTCGGGCGAAGCGGGCTGCTCCCGTCCTTCTGGGACTTGGTGTCCTCATCTACATCTAAAAACAAGGGCCGGGAGCCATCGGAACAGCTCGCACGAGTATTTTCCACACTACAAGCCCTTGTTTGTGAGGAATCCCTCGTCCCTGGGAAACCAGACGAAAAAACAGTGTCGCTCAAACTGCTGGCCTCAGAAAGTTCAGAAGCCGCTGTCGGCGCTGTAGACAAGGTAGAGGATGTAACCCCAAAAGACGTCGTCGTTGACCCCAGCGGTGCTGCAGACCCTGGTGTTGCTGAGCTTGATTGCACGTATGTCTGCAAAAACTCAGTATGATCATCGTTCACCTCACCATCCTGCCTTTGTGCTTGCTCATCTGGGTCTTGTGGCTGCGGATGCGGATTCATCGGATGATGAAAAATACTCCTCCTCCTCCTCCTCCTCCTCGGGTCGCCTACGGCCCGGGGGAAACCGTGCACTGCTACCCTTCGCCCGCTTTCCCCTTTTTTGGGGCCTCCTGGGAGGCCCTCGTCGGGTCGCCTACGGCCCCGGGGGAAACCGCGCAGGGGCCTCAGGAGAAGAACCAACACAAAGACTCAATTAATCGTCGATTCCCCGGAATGTCTGCGAAAGTCTGGGAAGTGTGGGGGGGAAGACAAACACCCAGAAAATATGGGAATCTATAGGGGATGCTGTAATTTGTGTCTAATGACTTGTGTGTCCCAGAGCCCCTTCAGGGCCATGGGCCCTCGCTCCCTTTCCACCCGCCTCGCTCCGCCCTGTTCGCTCCTGCCTCGCCCCCAGGTCTTCGACGAGTGTACCTTGCAGCCTGGGCGTTTCTCCAGGATGTCGGCCCCAGGGGCCCGTCCTCGAGCCCCTGGGCCATCAGGAATCGATCCGGGACGAATGCTTCCCCCAGAAAAGGGTCCAGCTCTCTGGGCCGCGGGCTGGGAAACCCATGCTGGCGTGTGCCCCTGCGTCGCCATGGCGCAAACGGGGCTTCACGCCCTCGGGGCCCTCTCAGGGCCCTGCTCAGGCTGAAGAGCTGGTCCTGGGGGAAGGCCCCCACTGTCCAGGACCCGTTTCCCTCCAGTGCAGTTTTCTTCAGGTCAACAGTTCCTTCCTCCTTTTTGTTCGCTCCTCCCTCCTCTTCCTCATCTTCGTTCCTTCTCCCTCCCATCCCTCCCTCGCTCCCTCGCGCCCATGGAGCTACCTTCCTGGAGGCCTAATGCACGAAGGGTCGGGTGGGAGGGCTCAGGGCCTACAGGGTGGAAGGGGCCAGGCCACATTCCTTCCCCTATCGCGCGTGCACTGGCACCCCTTCCACCTGCCACTCGCGACTCCGCCGAAACACCTGTTTCCCTACGTCGAGGCTCCCCCCGCCTGGAGCCCGAGGGGTCTTTCGGTCAACCTCCCTATTGCTGGGAGTATGTCGATATGGTCCTGCATCAGACGATTAGCAAATGGAGCCGTTTCGTTCTTGGATTCGCAGATCTGTGCAGCGTGTTCTGTGCTGCTGAGAAGCACGTCGGGGGACCACGACGACGACGACGACGACGACGACGGCAACCGACGACGACGACCGACGACTGACGATGACGATGACGACGACGACGACGACGACGACGACGACGACGGCGACGGCGACGGCCGACGACGACGACGACGACGACGACGACCGACGACGACGACGGCGACCGACGACCGACGCGACGACGACGACGACGACGACGACCGACGACCGAGGCGACGACGACGACGACGCGACGACGACGACGACGACGACGGACGAAAGTTAGTACCCCATGGGACCTGTGAGTTGATCGCACGGCCCACGGGCTCAGGATCGAGCTCCGCAGGGGAGGAGGGGAGAAGGAGGCGCCCACCAAGGCCGTACACGTGAGGGGTGTCCCGTCTTGGGGGCGCGTGCGCCAATCGTCGTCGCCCACGGAAAGGGAGGAGGAGGAGGCAGAGGAGGGGAAGCAGAAGGAGGCGCGCGTGCTGCTTGTTCAAAGCCAGGTCCCAACGTCCACGGGAGGATTGGCAATTCAACGGGAGATGCACGGCCAGTCACAAGGTCACGTCAGTTTCGCCTCATCCTCCTCCAGTTCGGCGCCGCAGACTGAATCTGCTGGCCCCATGCGCGTTATCCCTTGATGATGTTCTCCGACGGCACCGCCGATGCCGACGACGACGTCACCGACGACGACGTCACCGACGCCGACGACGCCGCCGCCGACGACGACGACGCCGACGACGACGACGGCAAAACCGTGCTGACGATGCCGGCGCCGCCGCCGAGCACGCCGAGGCCGATACCGGCGCCGATCGACGACGGTAACCGCCGAGGTGTGCCGCAGGGCCGCGGGCGGCTGGGTCGACGTCGGCGTCGTCGGGCTCGCCGCCAGCGAGAGCCCCGCGGAGGTCCTGCAGGGCGTGCAGACACTGCTGCCCAGGCGGCGGCGGCCGCCGCCGCCGCCGCCGCCCTCGGGCGCGTCGTCGCCGTTCGCCGCCGAGGCAGCCGCCGCCGCCGCCGCTGTTGAGCACAGGAGGGAAGGGCAGCGATACCGTCATCGGCCTGACCTAAGGAACGATACAGAAGGAACGAAGTCCTTTTTTTATCCCAAGGAATAACGCATAATCAACGATAGATAACAAATAACGCAGAAGGAACTATAGGTAACGCATGCAAACAGAAGGAACGACCGAGCCCCTTTTGAAAAGCAAGTGTTCCTTACTCAAGCCGCTCACTGTACCGTCACCCGTGCGCGCGCGGACGCCAATTCAAAGCAGGGTGCACGAGCCCCACCGGCGAGCCTTGCCTCTCGACCAGGGGGGGGGCGGGGCGGGAGGAGCCTGAGGAGGAGCACAGTCGCTTCCACGTCAGAGGCCTCGGGTGGAGTCACAGTGCACGCCAGTGGGGCTCGTGCACCGCGCCGTGAAGGGGCGCGCGCGCCGGCTGCATGCGCGAAGAGGCCACAGCTGGGCTTCCCAGGCTCGCTGACCGCCCCCTCACAGAGGTGCAGGCCCCGAGCCCGCGCTGTGCGTGCGGTGTGTCCTCCTCCCCATTCCCCCTTTTCCTCCCCCCCTCTGCCTCCTCCTCCTCCTCCTCCTCCTCCTCCTCCTCCTCCTCCTCTTCCTCGTCCTCCTCTTCCTCTGTCGTCGCGGGGCAGCGGACGTTCGCTGCCTGAGTGCGCGTCGGGCCCCGAAGAGCGGCGCGCTCAGCCGCCGCCCCAGCGCCGCGGGCTTGGCAGGAGCTCAGCGGGTTCGCCTGCAGGACCCCATGGCTGCCGTGCCGTGCCTCTTCCTCGTCCCCCCCCAGGGTCATGGTTTTATCACGCGCTGCTCTGCGATGAGTTCAGTCTGCGCTGTTCGAGCCGCGGGCGTTCTCACCCCAAAGCGGTGCGACGAATGCTCTCATGGTTCCACTCGCTCCCTTCATAGTCCGAATTGGCGCGTTTGACATGTTCTAATCCGCCTGGGGCGCTTTTCAGCTAATCCCCTTTCCGTCTCCTCGTCCTCCTCCTCTTCCTCCTCCTCCTCCTCCTCCTCCTCCTCCTCCTCCTCCTCCTCCTCCTCCTCCTCCTCCTCCCCCCGCTTGCTGTCCGTAGCAATTTTGGCTCCAGATGATTTCGCCCCGTGGCAAAGCACGGAAACCCTTGGTCCAGGGACAGCTAGGGACCCATTTCCCACGCCACGCCTTCCAGCTGCCCTGTTGGTTGAGCTTCATATTCGGCCCGTCCCTCGCCTGCAACAGCCTTCACGCGCGATATTGGGTGGCTGGCGCGGGCCACTGTGTATCTCCATGGGAACGCACGCTCATCCACAAGCAGCTGGACCTCTCGCACTCCTTCCCAACGGACAGGACCTCGACTGTGGCAAACGTCAACAACATCCATGGCCTGATGGTGCAGCGAAGCTTGCGGTGAATGACCTGCCCGCTCACGTTCGCAAGCAGCTGGAGGAGACCGTGGCCGCCCAAATCGCCGACGCCAGCGCCAAGTTCAAAACCGCAGCACGCGCTGACACAGCACAAGCCAGCCAAGACTTCCTCGCCTACATGACGAAGGTCACGTCCGAGCTCAGCCAGAGTCACGAAGCCACCGAACGCAGCATCCACAGCGTCACGCAGCGCACCAACGACCTCGACAAGCAGAATGTCGAGCGCAAGACCGCCATTGCAAAGCTTGAAGCCATCGTCACAGCCGCAGAAGCACGTGTTCCCGCTCTCAACCTCGAGGGCCTTGGCACGCGGGACTGGGGCCCCGACCCCGCAACGTTCTGGCGCAGCAGTCCACAGGGGCTCAACCAGCCCGAGTTCGAACGCGCCCTCGCAGAATAGCTTGCCAAGGCCGAAAGCACCGAAGACATTGTCATATTTTCATACCGTCGGCCCCGCCAAGCGTCACTCGTTCAAGGTCAGCGGCGGCACCGTCGCGGCATAACCTCGTGCCCAGCGTCCCCACGGTGCTCTCCGTAACGGAAAGGGATGGCGCAACTTCGCAATCGATCTGGGTTGTGGTGTACATGTCCCTCTATATGTTCCAGCAGACAAAAGTCCGAAAGCCGTCCGCACAGAAGTGCACTGCAAACGCCTCGCCAAGATCATGCAGAACGCCAGCCCCGACGTCGACCTCCGCATGCGCAGGACCCTTGGCTACATTGCTAATCGTGGGGGCGCTCTGGTTCGTTTGCTCATCGGAGCCCATGCTGGCGAACCCACCAGAAACCAGCGGTCCAACGCCGCCATGGACCGTGGCTTCACCGAAGACAAGCAGCGGCATATCAATGCCGAGTTCGCCTCCAACGTCGCGGACGCCCTCGCGGCAGCGCAGTGGCTCTAGCTACCGCTGGAGCTACCGCTGGAGCCCGTGGCTCCTGCCTTCTGGAACACTCGAGCTCTTCTAGGACAATATGACCAACGCCGCGAAGACAAACGTTGCATGCTTCTGCCTTACAGCACGCGGATCCCTTCACGACCTCATTCTACTGGCCAATTCGACCCAGCACCCGTGCAAGCCGTTCCACCCGCCCGCGATCGTCAACGACGTGCCCGTCTCCAGCGCCGGCGGCGTCGGCTTCCTCGCCCCGTGTGGCAAGAGAGGGCTTCAGCTTTCATGTGAACAACGGCCTCAAACCAGGCTCGAGGTCGTCATCCCTGGCCGCGCCGCTTGGCTGTGCGTCGCGGATGCCCGCCTCCAGTTTAAAGTCAACCGCGGCCTCGCGCCAGCCGGCCGTATTCACTTTCGCGACCAATGGCAAACACTGCGACAGCATGCTGACGAACAGCTTCAATTTCGTTTCTTCATGGTCGTGGGTGGCTTCAACGTTTCCGAGTTCCCCCCGAGGTCCCTCAGCGCCCCCGTCGACTCCGACTCCACCGCCGCGCAGAGATACCAGTGCCGGCCTGTCTTCTGGCGCTCGCTGCTTCGTGACGCGATTGAAATCGCATCCATGTCTACGACGCGCAGACCCGTAGGCAACGCGAGTGAATCAACGATCGGCCGCTGCTTCATCAACATTCCGAGCCACCTCGTGCCTCTCATCGGGGCATTTACATCGCCGACGACGCCCCCTCGCGAACGCCAGGGGCCCGATCAGCAAGCTCAAGATCATGCACCTCCGCGCCCGCCTCCGCAAGCCCAGACCAGCCGCCGAGCGCGGCATCCCCGCCTGCATCTTCGACACCGACCGCTGCTTCATCAAGCTTCCGAGCCACCTCACGCCTCTCATGGGGGCATTTACATTGCCGACGACGCCCCCCTCGAGAACGCCAGGGGCCCGATCAGCAAGCTCAAGATCATGCGCCTCCGCATCCGCCTCCGCGAGCCCAGACCAGCCACCGAGCGCGGCGCCCCCGCCTACATCTTCGACGCCGATCACTACAAGCATCACATGAAAAAAAGATCATCACTACCACCGACGTGACGCTGCCCACCCCGATTGCTAGATGGCGCGCCCTCGCGGCCGCGATTCAAGTCGCAGCTGCCCGCGCACGCGACGCACCCACCTAGATTCCTGCTGCCGAGCTGAAATCAATGACTGCGAGTGTCTCCAAGGAGGCCCGCGCCACGACGTTGCGCAGCATTGCCCGCCCGGTCTAGTGCCAGAACGCCCCTCTCGCGAAGACGCTGATCGAGAACTCCGAGATCGGGCGCCATCACCTGAAGGTCGTCGGCAACACGGCCAGCATCAACGACGCGGCGCTGTTCGCCGCGGCCGCGGGCGCCACGCGCGCCAGCCTCAACGACGAGCGCAAGGCACACTCAGCTGCCCTCTCGCGATCTGCCTTTGCCGCCAACAACGCCCCCCTCGGCCAGTAGTGGCGTCGGCGCGTCGAGCGAGAAGGTTGCCGCGGCGAACACTGGAAACCCTTTTCCGAGCGCCTCATGTTGACTGGCATCGAGATCATCGTCGGCAACTCGTCCAACGTCGCGACAAATCCCGCCGCCGTGCACCAGGCCATCACGCGTCACTTGGCCCGCGTGTCTGCCGAGAAGCACGCGGGCGAGAAGCGCCTCACCGACCACCTCGCGACTCTGTCTCCCGTCGGCGCCAGCGAGCAGAGCTGTCTCTCCCCGACGCACAAGATCTTAAGAAACCAGCACGCCTCGCTGGAGACTCTGCCCCTGGCCCCGACGGCCCCCCATGCCGAGCGCGGCTCCGCGCCCCCGACAGCTTCGACATCCTCGCCGACGCATGCTACGACATCGCTGCCAACCACAACATCCCGCGCGACCTGAATTCCTCTCTCATGGCCATGTTGCCCAAAGGTGGCGAACCATCTGGCAATGCGGAGTGCGCGCGCCCCCCTAATTGCCTTCGTCCGCTTTCAATGAAGAGCTCGGACGCGAGGCTGCTGGCGTCCGCCGCCAACCGCCAGCTCCGCGGCCTTGCAGCCCAGACGCCCCCCGAGCAGCAGGGCTTCGTCACCGGCCGCCAGTTTTTGAACAACATCGCCATCGTGGACGCCGCCGCGCATCGACGCAGCCTGTCCCCGTCAGCATCCTCAGACATGCCCGTCTTCGTCAGCATGGACATCGCAGCCGCGTTCCCCAGACTCGGCCACCAGTGGATGTGGACTGTTCTCGAGCGCTGGGGCATCCACGGCCACTTGATGCACCTGATCCAGGCGTGCCACTTCTGGCCCGCATCGTTCCTCGACTTGGGAGGTGAACGTCGCCCACTCCTGATCGCTGCATCGGGCGTTGCTCTGGGACGCCCCTTGAGCGGCACGATCTGAGCGCTCGTCTTCGACCCCGGCATCATCGCCAACAGCCGCAAGCTCAGCGCCATCCACCGCGGGCTCATCACCGCCTGCGCCGACGACCTCGGCATCGTCCTTGCCAGGCTGGCTGGCCCCAGCGTGCTCGCCCTCCACATGATCGCAGCCGAGACCCTTGCAGGCCTCCAACAGCTGGCCAAGAAGTGCATCGTCGCCCCGACTTGGGCCCTCCCATCGCAAGACTTCGTAGCCGAGATTCGACGCGTTCTCGCGGCTGCCCGCGCCCCATGGTTCAATTTCAAGATTGAGGCCATAGCCCGCGACCTTGGCTTCTTCGTGGGCCCAGGCGCCATTCTCGCTGACCAATGGCGTGGCCCCGCAGTGAAATGGTGGGACCGCGCGGAGAAGCTCGCCGCCTCGCACGCCCCCATCCAGCACAGCATCGAGCTGTACAACGTCTCCGCCGTCACGCGCCTGGGCCACGTCGGTCAGCTCTTCGAACCGCCCGAGGGCATCCTGCAGCAGGAGCTGCAGGCCATAGACAAGCTGCTGCGCGTCGCCCCCTCCAGCTTCGCCAAGTCCGGCGCCCTCGCGATGTCGCTCTGGGCGAACGCGGAGGTCCCCATCGGCATCGAGAACTACCTGGCCGCCACTCTCTGGAGAACGGCGTCTACCACTGCGACAGAGTGGGGACGCGCACATAGCGAACTTTGCGACACCGCTTACGACCAGCTTCCCGTCACCACTGCACGGCAAGGCGCGCGGGGCAACGACTGTTGGGAGATCAAGGCCGCCATCGTCCAGCGCTTCGAAGGCGTCATCAACTCCACCTTTTCGTTGACTGTGAAGGATCACATCTCAAGCGCCTGACCCGCACTTCTGGGCCCAGACCCCGCGCGCGAGCCGCCATGGTCGCCGGCCGCAGGCGCGCCGCCAGAGCAGGACGGCAATCCATCCTTCAACGCCACGCCCCTCGCCTATCTCAACAACCTGACCGCCATCAACGTCGCAACAGTGCCAAGATCACGCCGCTGAAAGCCTACATAAAGTAGTTGAACGAGCAGCTCTACATTGACACCATGCCTGACACCATTACACGCCGCCTGATCGCACGGTACTCCACGCTAGACCCTGCCCGCCAACTTTCACGAGAAGCGCAATCTGGACCGCGGCGCGAAGCTGAACGAGCCCAAGAGCGCCTTCTTAACAGGGCGCGCTCATGGGCTGCGCACTGGCTGCCTGGCCGCCCGTTGAACGACCGACTCATCAACAACCAGGACGACTGGAGGCATTGGTGCGTCACCTGTTTGTACGAGCTGCTCTGCGCCGCCGTTGTACACTACCGACACGCAACGACGCCGCATCGCCATTGACACGTGCAATCAAGCGCGGGCCACCAGCGGCCCTGGACGCATCCTCCTGGAGCACCGCCTGTCCCGCGCAGTGACCCAGGGCGAGTCGCCGCGCAGCAGGTCGCCGCGCAGTCGAAAATCGTTGCTCAGCCACGAGGCTGCCCAAAACCGTGCCCGACGCCGCCGGATTGCCCGCGCCCCCCCGCTGCTGGAGCCCGACGCCGACCCGGACAACATTCGCCGCGACGACAACGACATGGGAGTTGAAGACCCACCTGACGACGCCGACGCACAGCGTGACCTCATTCAAGACCAACAAGTTCCTGATGATCTCTCCGCTCGGTGGATGCGCCTCCGCTCCCACCTCGCGACGCGGCCGCCCCCCAGGCTGTGGAGCGCCCTGAAGGTCCTCGCGGGCGCGTGGGCGACCTCGCACAGGACGCACGTGATCCCGACAAAGCGCCCATGCCATTTCGGGCGCCTGCGCGCCGACGACAACATCCAGCACTACTTAGTATGTGAAAGGACGCGGCACCAGCTGAGCTTACCGCGCGGCCAGCTGAGAACCAACATCATGACGAGGCTCGGCCTCCCCGAGGTGACCGAGCCGTTCCATGGCGAGAGCGGCATCCCGAACAGCATCGCCGGGCTCCCCGTGGCCACCAGGGCCTACCACCTCACGATGGACCAGGACATCCCAATGACCTGCAGCAAGCAGACGACCGCCGTAGCTGCCGCTCGCCGTGCCCTGAGGCTGCCCGCAAATCTGTCGGGCGGGGCTGGCGTGCCGTAGCGCGGCCTACAGACAGACGCGCCCTCTCAGGCGACGTTCGCTCCTCCCGTCTGCTGTCCTTCCTCGTCCTCCTCCTCCTCCTCCTCCTCCTGCTCCTCCTCTCTCCACGGCGTCCGTTTTGCGTGCAGATAAACTGCTGGCAGAGCCTTCGGAGATATCCACACAACGCGATCGTCCTTTCTCTCTTCTCTTCCCTCATCTCCCGTCGCAACCGCATTGCCGATATGTGGCCAAGGTTACGGGTTATGTCACGAGTTTGCCCAGGTCGGCTTGTGCGGTGTTCCCGCTTCGCCTGGCGACCTTTTGGTGCGCGACCTGGTTGTGCCACCTGTGTTTTTTTTCTGTGGAAAAGAACATATCGCCACCCTCGCCTCACTTTCGCTTTTCTGCGCCCGTTTGGGAGGCCCTCGTCACCACGTGCGGAGTCGCCTCGAAATCCGGTTCATAACGTGCCCTGGGAGAGGTCCAGAGAGGAGCGAATGACAAGTTGCCGTGCGGAGCCCGTCGGCGTGGCGTTCCGTCGTTCTTGTCCGAAGGTTTCGGGTAGTCCGCAAGCAGTAAGACGCTGGTGGGTTACCCATGGCGGCGCTTCATTGATTTCCGAAGGCTTGGTAGTTCGTGAGCAGTAAGAAGCTGGTGGGTTACACGTGGCGGCGCTTCATTGATGTCCATGGGGTTCTGGTAGTTCGTAAGCAGTAACACGTTGGTGGGTTACCCATGGCGGCGCTTCATTGATTTCCGAAGGTTTGGTAGTTCGTGAGCAGTAACACGCTGGTGGGTTACCCATGACGGCGCTTCATTGATTTCCGGAAAAAAAAAAAGGTTCCTGGTAGTTCGTAAGCAGTAACACACTGGTGGGGTTACCCATGACTGCGCTTCATTGATTTCCGAAGGCTCCTGGTAGTTCGTAAGCAGTAACACGTTGGTTGGTCACCCATGACGCCGCTTCATGGATTTCCGAAGCAAAGGTGTGGAAGTTCTTTGTGTATCCTGGGGGAACCTACGCGTTCAGCACCTTGGCAGCGTTGCCCCTGCGCCCGGCGCCTCCCTCGGGATTCCAGCGGGCTTTTGTCGCGCGAGTTCCGTATGGGATCCCGGCCTGAGTTCATTGTTTCGTTTGGCGATTGCGTTCGGAACCACGCACGCACGCATATCGGGCCGAGCGAAAGGAGGGGATAGGGAAAGGGGGGGTCACGAAATCTGCTGCATGCAGCTGGTTTCGGCCCCGCCGCCGGGCCCATCCCTCGATGCATGGGCGCCTCCCGGCGCCGGGAGGCGCCGGGAAGATGAGCTGCGTGAGCTGATTCTCACCCCCCCGTTTGCTATCCCCCCCTTCCCCCGGCCCGAGCATACTGCTGCTGCGTGTGCGCCAGCCCCCACACGGGTGACGCGCTCGCTCAGAAATCTTCCTGGCCGTACCGCCCGGGTCTTTGCATGCTGCAGACTAACAAAAGACGTTTATGCTATAGGTTCGATTGGGGCTCACGCCTCCGAAAGATGTACTAGTATGCCATTCTGTGGCCCATGCTCCTTCGGGGCGTCCCAAACCGTGTGGTGACCACACCGCGTGGTGAGTCCGCGGGGGTTCGGGACTCGGGTCGTTTTCCGAGGGTGTCTCGGACGACTGGGGCCTTCGTGGTCCCAGAACCGTGTGGTCACGGACCGCGCGGGGAGGTCGTTCCGGCTTCCCCCACCGGCCCTCCTCCTCCGCGAGCCTTCCTCCCACCGGCCCTCCTCCCATCATGTCCCAGCGGCCCTCCCCCCCCAGCCTCCCCCCGGCCTCTCCCACCCTACCATGTGGCGCGAGAGCTCCTGAAGGCGCCAGGGCCAGAGCGGGAAGCAAGCCGTTCCAGAGGGATGACGGGGGGCGTCGTTCGCAGAGGATTCCACCGTAGGAGTTCCGCCGCAGGCTGGCACTGCATTTCCAGGGTCCTCCTCCCGTCATTAGGGGAACAAAACATTGCATAAACATAAAAACTCGGAGGTCCCCGCGGATTCCTCGGATCGGCGCTGGGGCCGCCCTTGGCGCGCTCCGCGCGCCATGAAGGGGGGTCCAGCGCCGGTCCGAGAAATCCGCGCGGACCTCCGAGTTTTTATGTTTATGCCACTCTTCGTTCCCCTATATCCGACGAAGGCATCTATACACCACCACCGTGCCAGACCAGGGCCATCCTGGGCGGTAGGATGGTGTGTAGACCCGCCTGGCTCGGCCAGGAGGGCGTATACGTCATCCTAGGGCCCAGGATGGCCCTGGCCTGGCACGGTGGTGGTGTATAGATGCTTTCTGCGTGCTACAGTCGTGTCCCGTGCTCCTTCCCCGTCGCCTCCCCCCCCATCGGCCCCCCTCCCCCCGGAGAGGCGGCACCTCGTGGGCGCCGGGCCGGGCCTGGGCGTCTTCGCCGTGGACGCCCTGGCCGCGGACCCCCCGCCCGGCCCCCCCCCCACCCCCTCCTCGGTCCTCGACCCTCGATCCTCGATCGTCGACTTTCCCTGCTCCTCGATTCTCAACGCTCGATCCTCCTCCTCCTCCTCCTCCTCCTCCTCCTCCCCCTCCTCCTCCTTCTCCTCGGCCCTCGAACCCCCCCCTTAATAATCACTCGATCTCGAAGCTCTATAGATCCCTCCCGCGGCGGCCTGGGCATCCGCGGCAACGTAAGGATGCGATAGGCTCGGGGGTAGAACGTCACCACCCACCAAACCACCCCAACCCAACCCGAAAGCTTCAATTTGCCCTCCATCTCCAGTGTGGGGGGGTCGGGGAACATCGAAAAAACACATATGGAACCCGTACCTCCCCCCCACCCGAAATTGGGGGTCTTCGGGTTGGGTTGGGGTGGTCTGGTAGGTAGTCAGAACGTTTCGAGTTCGGGGGCCGTTTCCGAACGTTTGCGCCAGTTCTCGGCGGTGTCGCCGGCCTCCGGGTGCGCTGCCGCGGCGGCGCCATGGCCGAGAGCGGTCGTCCGGGGCCGCCCGGACTGGTCCCAGGGCCCTGGAGGCCCGAGGCGTGATACCCGGAAGCCAGGCGACGCGCGGGGGGGATGGGCTCCGAGGGGCATGCATCTGTCAGGAGGGGAACAAAAACACACAGACACGATTAATCGTCGACCCCCAGGAAAGTATAGGAAACTGTGGGAAGTGGGGGGAAGACAAAAACCCAGAAAATATGGGAATGGGCTCCGAGGGGCATGCATCTGTACGGGACGGGAAAATGACCACAGCCACTGCTTCTTGTTTGCGCCGCCTTCCAGCCGACCGGAAAAGAAGCAGTGGCTGTGGTCATTTCCCCGGTGCCGAGCTTAACGAAAAATGACCACAACCACTGCTTTGTTTCTGCTGGCTGGAAGGCGGCAACAAAAGAACAGCAGTGGCTGTGGTCGTTCTCACGTCCCGTAGTCTGCACCGACTCGCCCGCCGACCGCCGAGGCGGGCCCGACGGCCCACCCCGCCCGAGAGCCACGCGGTGTCGCTGTCGATGGGCCCGTCGCGCATCAGTCGGCGGTGCATCGCCGATGCCGGTCCGATGCTCCCCCCCCCCATCTGAGCCAGCCTTCCCCCCCCCCAACAAGCAAAGGAAACCTCCCAAAGCGCACCAGATATCCCCCACAGAGTGGAGCAGACCATCCAAAAAGTAGAGGAGACCCCCCAGGATCGCGAGGCGCCCAGACACGCCCCAGGCGTAATTAGCCCCTTCCCTCGCCCCCCCCCCCCCTCGCGGTGGCGGCGGGCAGCGGCGCGCAGTGCCGGCCTGCCCGCACGACGGGGTTGGGTGGGGGGTCGGCCGCGCGCAGAGGGAGGGTGGGGGGGAGGGAGAAATAAAACGACGCGAAGATCGGGACAAAGTCGGATCGGGATAACTCGAAATCTCTGAGAATCGGCGGTTCTGGAGGATGTATTGGGCGCCGCGGCCGCTCCAGAGCATTCCGGAACGCTCTGAGAGCGCTCCGGAACGCTCTGGAGCGATTTATCCCGATCCTAGCCCTGTTTAGGCTTCCTGGAGAGGCACCCCTGCTCCTCGGAGGGCGCGTGGGCGCTGATTACCTGTAGGTGCAAGGCTGGCGCGCCTCCGAGGAGGCAGCCTCTCCTTCCAAGAAGCCCTCTCCCCCCTCCCTCCGCCCCCCCTGTGCGCGCCCGCCGAGGGGGTGGCCGGGCACGGGCGGGGCAGCTCCGCGGTGGCCTTCCAGGGAGGCTCCGTCGTCTCCTGCCCGGCCTGCGCTGGCCGCACGCTCTGCCACAGGCTTTCCGCGCCGCTGCGGCCAGCGCGCCTCCGAGCGAGCGCCCGCTGAGGAAGGAGCGCCTGCAGGGGGCGGAGCTGGTCCCCTGCCTCCCACGCCGTGGCCCACACCTGTCGTTCTCCACGGGAGCTCTCCGGTAGGACCGCGCCCCCCCCCCCCTCCCCAATTGGTCCAGGGGTGGGCGCGGGCGGGTCGCGGCTCGCTCCTGCGAGCGAGCCCGCGCTGCAGTCGGAGGAGAGGAGGAGGGAGCCAGCTGAAGAGTCTGGGAGGCACTGGAAGGAGGGAGGGGAGCCCTGCCGGGGCGTCTCGGGGGAGCTCCCCCGCAAGCGCGGGGCCTGTGGGCGCCGCAGGCAGACGGGTGCCAGAGCAGGGCCCGAAGGCGTGTCTCGGGTTCCCCGGTCGTGATCTTCGCGTGTCGCGCTGCTGCAGTTGCTTGTTCGCAGCGTCGGGTCTCGGGGCCCGTGCCCGTCGCTTCCCACCTCTGCCCACTCTGCTGGCCGATCGCCAGCACTCCTGGCTGGCCGCCGTGCCTCTCTCCCGCGACCAAGCAGGCGCAGTCGTGCGCAGTCGAGGTGCCGCAGGCTGCATGGTCCGTAGACGGGCTGACGGCGATGTGTATGTGGCGGCGATGTAGGTTTTGGCAGTGGGGGAACGCGTGGCTTGCGCTTTCCCAAGAATTCGCGGTGTCGTGCTCGCTCGATATTCATTCGCAGATCGGAAATGCAGGAAGTGTGGTTCGTGATTTCGGACAAGTTGGTTCCCAACATCACCATTGAGCAACATCGCCGTTAGCCCGGCCTTAGATGGTTTGTCTTAGTCGCCTCTAACACGCGCTTAAGCTGAACCTCCCGTCCCACCCTGTTCCTCCCTACCTCCTGCTCCTCGCTTAAGCTGAACCTCCCGTCCCACCCTGTTCCTCCCTACCTCCTGCTCCTCTATTCGGGCCGAGCGAAAGGAGGGGATAGGGAAAGGGGGGGTCACGAAATTTGCTGCATGCAGTTGGTTTCGGCCCCTCCGCCGGGCCCATCCTTCCCGGCGCCGGGAGGCGCCGGGAAAATCAGCTTTGTGAGCTGATTCTCCACCCCCCCCCGTTGCTATGCCCCCCTTTCGCCCAGCCTGAGAACCTCCCGTCCCGTCTTGGAGACCTCTTGGGCCGTCTTGGGGGCCTCTTGGGGCCGTGTCTTGGGCCTCTTGAGCGATCTTTGGGGGCACTTGGGCCGTCTCGGGCCGTCGGAAGGCAGAAAAAGACCAAATTCCACAATCCTTCAAAAATCCATGGGAAATCAATGATTTTGGCCTTTTCGGGCCTTCCTGGAGGCCCTCTTGGAGGCCTCTTGGGCCATCTTAGGGCAATGTTCGGCCGTCTTAGTGGGCTCCTGGTCCGTCTGACGCCGTCGGAAGCCGTTTGGGGCGCCTCTCTGGGCCGACTTGGGGCCCTCTTGGAATGCTCCAGGGCCGCCTTGGAGGCCATCTTGGGCGTCTTAAAGGCGTCCTGTGCCGTCTTGGGGGCCTCTTGGGGCCGTCTTGGGGCCCTCTTGGGCCGTTCTGGGGCCATTTTGGAGGCCTCTTGGGCGATCTTTCGGCGATCTTTGAGGGCTCTTGGGCCGTCTCGGGCCGTCGGAAGGCCGAAAAGAAGCAAATGTCAAAATCCGTCAAGCACCTGAGGATAATCCAGGTTTTTTGGCTTTTTTTGGCCTTCCTGGAGGCCCTCTTGGGGGCCTCTTGGGCCGTCTTGGGCAAGCTTCGAGCCAACTTCGGCCATCTTGATGGTTTCCTGGCACGTCTGACGCCGTCTTGGAGACGTCTTGGAGACCATCCTGGGCCATCTTGGCCGTCTTGGAGGCCATCTTGGGCCAACTGGAGGAAACAGAGGCATGACGGATTCCTTTCCGGGTGGCCGGCGGGACGGGCCGGAGCCCCAGGGGGAATCCGCCGCCCCCTGTGGTCTTGCCACAGGGGTGCACGGCGTGCTGGACGATTCAGGTTTTGGTTTTGGTTCTTTTTCTAAAAGAACTCCCCAGTGGGCTTCGGCCCGTCCCGCCGGCCACCCGTAAGTTTCCATATGTCAATGCCTTTGTTGCCCCAACTTGGCCCAAGATGGCCTCCAAGACGGCCAAGATGGCCCAAGATGGCCTCCAAGATGCCTCCAAGACGGCCAAGATGGCCTCCAAGACGGGTAAGATGGCTCCAAGATGCCTCCAAGACGGCCCAAGATGCCCTCCAAGACGGCCAAGATGGCCCCAAGATGCCTCCAAGATGGCCCAAGAGGCCTCCAAGACGTTCTCCAGGAGAGCCCGAAGAGGCCAAAATCATTGGTTTTCCTTAGGTTTTTGAAGGTTTTTTGCGTTTTCTTCTTTTCGGCCTTCCGACGGCCCAAGAGGCCCCCAAGATCGCCCAAGAGGCCTCCAAGAAGGCCCTATGACGGCCCAAGGGCCCCCCAAGACGGCCCCAAGAGCGCCCCAAGACGGCCCAAGAGGCCTCCAAGACGCCCAACATGGCCTCCAAGACGGCCCTGAAGCGCCCCAAGAGGGCCCCAAGACGGCCCAGAGAGGCCCCCAAGACGGCTCCAGACGGCGTCAGACGGACCAGGAACGCCCTAAGACGGCCAAAGAGACCCCCAGGAAGCCCCCAAAGGCCCCCAAGAGGCCCAAGGAGGCCCCCAAGATGCCTCCAAGAGGCCTCGAAGAGGCCCCCAAGAAGCCCCCAACAGACCCCAAGGGTGCCCCAAGAGACTCCTAACAACCCTCATCCTCCTACTCTATTTCTTCCTCTTCCTCTTCCTGTTCATAATCATTCTCTCCCATGTGTTCCCCGAAAGCTTTCCAAACCGACTCGGGGAACTCATGGTCCGATAGCTTGGCCAAGCTCTAGTCCAACTTTCGGCCACATCGGCGTTTACCTAACAGCGAAGACTGATAGGTTTCTAATGGTGTAAAAAGAGAGCAGCAGATGACTCCACAGGGGGGTCTGGGCAGCCGTTGGGGAGCCGTTGGGGGGCCGTTGGGGGGCCGTTGGGGATTGCCGGGGAACCTCGTTTTTCGCAAACAGTCACACACTTCGTGCTCTTCGACCTCCCAGAACTCCATTCTTCGACCTCCCAGAACTCCATTCCCGGGCCACATTCTGAATGCCCGGAGCCAACTGTAGGCCACTTCGTGGTCTTCGAGTTCCCAGAACTCCATTCCCGGCGTACATTTTGGATGCCCGGAGCCAACTGTAGGCCACTTCGTGG